GAACTCATCCTCACCAGAAGTAGTAAACACTTGGTTAGTGTTTATTAAATAAAAAGTCATGTCGTAGAATCATTTTGTTTAACCAGTATTTTACTTTTCTTAATATATTATAAACTTGTTTATCTTCTTTCAACTTAACTAATAGGAACTATAATAAGGAACTTTAAATTAATTACTTTGGTACGTCACTTTGTATTAGAAATTACACCTATCACTTACAAATACACTACAAATTAAAAACAAAAACAAGAAATAAATTATAAATGTTTGATTAGGCTGGAATACTTCACATTCATTATAATATTATCGCCAAAATGTTGCCGACTCCACGCCCGGCGCGTCAAAATGTGTCGCGCGAGCGCGAACGCGCTGCCCCCGTGTATACTCGTGCGCCATCGGGCTCCGACTAACGGTTAGTCGCGTTTTTCGATCTTGGGCACTATTGGGTGAAAGAGAGAGAAACACTCTATTTTTTCGTGTAAATTTGAAATTTGTACAATGTATACTTACGAAACTGTGATCTTTTAATTTTGCGTCCTACCGGAAGTACTTTAAGTCCTGCTGGCAGGACTCCGGGCGATCTATCATTAATGTTACTGAAAACAAACTGACCCCGCTTTTCAAACTTTTCAGTAATAAGTTTTTTTAATTTATTTATTAGGTAAATACAAGTTCTTAGCTCTATGATATAAATCTCTCCACAAGTCCTTCGATTGTAATTCTTAAAGCTTGTAACACACACTAGTTTTTAAGTAGATTTAAGTAAGAATGTCGTTACTTAATGCTCTTATTTAACTTTGGCGTGGAAAGTAAAGCAGCAAGCTTGAGACTCGTCGTCTTCATTCCATAGTTTGACTTGCACTGGGAATTTGCCCTGAAATTATACAAAAGTGTAAATATTTTTCCAAAATATGACACTGACATTTAGAGCTAATAAATTAATCAAAATTGCATGTCAAGAAGGTTTCGAGTATGCCGAGTTTCTTTCGCCAATTTAGGGTAAACCCTAGGTAAGTACTAGGCCCTTGTCAGATCTTGATGATCTGTGATTTCCCTTCATTTTGCACAGTTATTTTTAGTGGCGTCCCTTTCCATAGCTTGATTCTGCTTGAGCTGCAACAGAGCGTTTAGTTTGAATGTCGTTGTTTGTACTTCGGTATCCTATTTTATGACATTAAACTTTTCCCCTAACTTACCATTCACTGGCTGGGTTTTATTGACTGTCAGTCATACTATTCTTTGTTTGCATAATACCAGAGGAAGAAATAATTCTTACCGGCGATGGTATGTCCATAGACAGGCTTAGTTCAAAGTTGTGTCGGACGGAGGCCTCCAGAGGGCACACTAGGAGGTCGTCGCACACCCTCTTGGTGGTCTTGATTACGTCATAGGAGTCGGAGTTCAGGTGGTCGCCAGATATCTCCAGGCGGAGGTTTTCGGCCGAGAAGTCTGAAAAAAGCGATTCCTGCTTAATTTGTCTAGGTTATTTTGTTAATCCTATCATTGAAGCACAAAACATCAATGGCTAGGTCACGAACCACTCTTTAGTCTTTTTTAACCAACTTGAGAATGTTACTAGGTATGCAAAATCACTTGAAACCTATGTTACAGTTAGGCTTTTACATTTACAAATACATTAGTTTTTATTTCATTCAAAAATACCCAGTAGTTATGATTTTATAGGCATTCAAAGTTCGCCGACGGTCACGTGACCCCGCGTGACGTACATTCACAGTATCCGCTCACTAGAAAACGGATATAAACATACTTAAATACATTTTTTTTTGTAAATACAAACTTATTTTACATATTAACACCCAGACCCATCACAGAAATTAAAATTGAACCAAACCCAAACTTGATGCGATTGTGTCGTTTTATTGCGAATTACCTTCCAGCTCCATCATTAGACCCCGATTACTATATAGAATTAAAATACTCATCAATACAAAACGAACGAGCCCAAACTCGATGCATTTAAGTCGTTTTATTATAGAGTTCCTATGGCCACCTTCCAGCTCCATCATCAGATCAGCTCCATGTCATCATAATATTGCATGGTCATCCAAATCACATGTGTTTGCGAAATTTCAGCTTAATCGGTTGCCTGGAAGTGGGTCTTAATTCAGCTTGCAAGATTCCACCCATACAAATATGAGCCAGTCACTGTAATATGACGTCACGCGCATAAAATGGCGGGCCGGCCGCCGCCCGCACTTTTAAAATTCAATATCTTGGAAATTAATTGACGTATCGAAATAATTCTTTCACGTGTATTTTTTATTTTTAACAGAGAATACAGAAAGCTAAAAAACAAAATTAGTGAACATTCTTCATTGGGTTGGTTTTTTGTCTATCTACTTGAGTTTGATACTATAGTATGCGATTAATAGGTTGTTGGTGTGACAGTAGTTATCATATCACATTATTATACTAAGAAAATAAACTGAAATTAATAATGTCACGTCCTGTGTTGTATTGACGTAAGTAAGATAAGAATAAAAAGCAAATGTAAGGCGCAAAATAAACTAAACTCGGCCTACACATCGATAGTAAATTAAAAATAACACGATCGTGGGCAAATCATGAACTCAGTGTAGAGCAAACTTAGGCTGAGTTTTTTTTATTTTATTTTTTATTTAGTTAGTGGCAACCAAACCTCTCTGGGAGGTTTATTTCTGCCAATGTCGAGTGAAAAATTGACATAAATTATCAATAGAACGTGGGTGTTTCTGTTCCATAGATTTTTCATGGATTCCGTGGAGTTAAGTATGCCCGTAAGCAGGTTTCAAGACGCCACCGGGTCCAAAGCGGGTTGTTCATACGACAACCCACTCGACACTCGATGTTAGGCTGAGTTGCACCATTTTACTTTAACTTTGACAAGCGTCAAAAATCTGTGAAACTAGATACAAAAAGCACCGGTTATTGTTACGGTTAAAATACGGTGGTGCAAGTCGGCCTTAGATAGTTAATTCTTCACTCACGGGGTGTAAAGTCCACTTTGATGCCGTAAGGTTTCCCTCTAATGAAGGAGCAGAACTGCGGTCCGTGGAGGCATGGCTCCACCATCACCTGATGGATTGAGCACAGGGTAGGAACCACTGAAAATAAGAAACTTTTATAACACCCATAAGACAAAAGTTAAAAGACTATAAATAATTTCAGACTTTTCAGTCTACTTATGATTTCAGAATCTTAGGTCCATATTAAAACGATACTCATTAAACACTTTCAAGCAAGCTTGTGGTTGATCTAACTAAAGTTTTAAATATTGACTACGTTTGGATTGTAAGCGAGTTTTCAGAATATGGGGTTTAGATAGCTTAGTTAGACTTAAGTTGTATTATAAATTAAATGCAGTGGCTACCTAGGAACGTTTAAAAAGGCATTTTTTCATCATATTGTTCGAAGTAAGTTTATTATTAAATTACAAAAGAAGTTACATTACTATACATTCCTATAAAATACGTAGGAGAGCTTTTCATCTCGGATTCTAAAACGCATTTTGGCGTAACAAAGCTTTATTTCTTTACAAGTACAAGTCACGTGCTTTCTTAGACATGTAGGTATACTAAACATAATAATAAGTAACTTACCATTTCGGCAATACTTTTTAATGACATAATCAGACTGGACAGCAACACACAGGGAAACAATAAGCACTGCTCGGAACAACATGGCGGTAATCAATGTCCGGGAGCGGACTCGAAACGGGCACAACTGATACTAATTATCGATGTTCTCGTGTTGTTATCTGCTACTAGCTTTTCATCTGACTTTGTCTGGGTTGATACGGGAGCGCTTCATAAAATCCTTCATTTTGTGTAGCGCCATAATATGAAAAGATTCAGCAAGATGAAGTGATTTGATATGCCAAACATCTGTATGCGAAAACTTTAAAACAAAGCTTGTGTTTTCTAACAGTATTCAGTATGAATAAGACATTTTTGAGTGTACTCCTCGGACCGCTGTTGATCTCAAGTCTCATGCGCTGAAAGACTCACCATCATGCTTTATGTGCACTGCCTCTATGGTGTACTGCTAAATAATTATACCTCTCTAAGACCTAAAACTTTTTTAACACTCTTGAGCTATAAAAAATATAAATATCCTTGGACATTTTTAAAGTACGCTTCTAGTCCCAAACTAAGCATAAGCTTGTACTATGGGTACTAGACAACGGATATAAACATACTTAAATACTTTTTTTTAATACTTCATATTATACATAGTAACACCCAGACAAATCACAGAAATTAAAATTCATCATTTCAATTTCTACTCATATTAATTTCTACATCTAGGTACTCATTGACTCGTATATTGAACTAGTCGAAAGTTCCAATTATTATTGTTAACCAAACAAACATACAAATCACTCGATTTCATGAAGATATTTGAAGAAACTGGTCCTTTGACCAGTCGAATAACATGCATGCATATGGTATAACGAATGGTGATAAGACGCGATAAACTTTGTACTGCTTTTATACGACAAATTTTACATAAATAGCACATACATATGTAGTTAAGTATATCATGTAAGTTTAAATTAAATATAAGTATCAGATAGATTTCAATGTCACTAAAATAAATTGAGCACGAGATTCGTCGTATGAGGAGACTTGAGAATATAAGTGGAAAATATAATTTTGCTTCCCATATAAACCGTCAAAGTGCACTATCCCATTGTTTTAATACTACTGCCAGTTCTTTCTTTAAGCCGTCGGTTCATCAAGTCTATCTATTTATCTAAAGAGGCAACAGGTCGGTCATCTGTCGCATAATTGATGTAAGGTGGAAGGCCGTGCTCGATGGGCCAATGATCTCCAGAAGTCTTGTAGTATATCCATTAGAGTTGGCAATAATAAGCTATTAAGCATGGGGTATCCAGACAAGATCTACTATGCAGTCCTTTAGGTTGGGTTGCTCTAGAAGTCCTAAGCTTTAAACATCCTTGCGATGAATAAACTTATGATAAAAATAAGGAGTCAGAATAATATTGAACATTATTTTATTTATATCGTAAGAAAGTAGTCAGGTGCATAAATATTTGTTAACTTTTACTTAAGTTTAATTTTAGTTTCAAAACAGCAGACTTCGCTCTCGTTGGCGTCGTTCCACAGCTTCCATCTGAACCAGAAGGTGCCCTGTAAATGAAAATAAACAGTATTAAATAGGATGTAATAAGAAATTATCATAAGTAGCACTTTTCATTTGCGCCATTTAGGTGTTGAAACAGATCATGTTTTTATATGATGAATTTTCTGCAGATATACAGCTGGTAGGTGAGCGTGTGCTGTGTGCCGGGCACGGCCGGGCAGGTGGTGTAGAGGCAGGCGTCGGCGATGCCCACGCTGCTGAATGGAGTGTTGGTCCCACGCGTGGTCCATGATTGTATAGTATACTTACACTGGGCAGCTTCTTCCCGATATACAGCTGGTAGGTGAGCGTGTGCTGCGTGCCGGGCACGGCCGGGCAGGTGGTGTAGAGGCAGGCGTCGGCGATGCCCACGCTGCTGAACGGAGTGTTGGTCCCACGCGTGGTCTAGTCTAGTACTCACACTGGGCAGCTTCTTTCCGATATACAGCTGGTAGGTGAGCGTGTGCTGCGTGCCGGGCACGGCCGGGCAGGTGGTGTAGAGGCAGGCGTCGGCGATGCCCACGCTGCTGTCGTGTTCGTGGAGTCCCACGCGTGGTCTAGTCTAGTACTCACACTGGGCAGCGTCTTCCCGATATACAGCTGGTAGGCGTCGGCGATGCCCACGCTGGAGTATACTTCATCATCGTCATCATCATCATCTCAGCTATAGGACGTCCACTGCTGAACATAGGCCTCCCCCAATGCTTTCCATGCTGCCCGGTTGGTAGCGGCCTGCGTCCAACGCCTTCCTGCTACCTTTATGATGTCTTCGGTCCACCTTGTGGGTGGACGTCCCACGCTGCGTTTTACGGTACGCGGCCTCCACTCAAGAACCTTGCTGCCCCATCGGCCGGAGTATACTTACTGTATAGTATACTTACACTGGGCAGCTTCTTCCCGATATACAGCTGGTAGGTGAGCGTGTGCTGCGTGCCGGGCACGGCCGGGCAGGTGGTGTAGAGGCAGGCGTCGGCGATGCCCACGCTGCTGAACGGAGTGTTGGTGGCGTCTGCCGCGTGGTACACGGCCGTCTTCAGCTTCTCCGCCGAGAAGTCTGTTCATTTTGCAATTGATTAGTCTTCAAATTCAAATCTTAATATAGCGAGTGATATGGTTGCTAGGGTCATGTAATTATTGAGTTGTTCAGTTCAGTTTGGATGTCGCGGGCTCGAGTTTTAGATGAGACAATTTTTTTTGTGTTTTTCAATTTGACATGAAGAAGCAGGCTGAAAGTCGGTCAGATTGTCTACGTATGTGACGGCTGATGGACCTGATAACTGTAGGGTTCTGACTTAAGTTGTCACAATTTATATGATAGAAGAATTTGATCACTAGTTCTCACTGTTGCTAGATCCAAGGTACAGCTTTTCCGCCAATAACAACCCAACCAATGAAGGCCGATTTGTTCCAGGAGAAACTTCCCTCCAGTGTGTAGAATTAAGGGAAATACTAACTACTTTTGGAATTGTAATTTAACGAGTTTTTTGTAACAAAAAATATGATGGCTGATATATGTATAGCGGCGCGTATTTAATGGGGCTGGGGGGCTGTGTCTGATGCCCTCCAGGATGTTGGGTTGGGCTATTGATTTCCCCCCCAAGATATGGCATATCAGGGGCCCAGTCCCCCCTGAAAATGAACCCTAGATACGCCAATGCTGATGGTTATACATACTCGGTGTGTAATCGAACTGCATGGTGGCGTTGTGTCCTTTCCTGAGCGCACAGGGTTCCTTGAGGCACGGTGTGATGCGCAGCTCTTGGATAGTGCACGCATCTTGGGACACTGAAATTAATTAAATACTTCATTTATTTGATGAATTTTTTAATTTCAAGTCAAAGTCGACCCAGGACCAAGCTGCCTGGATACGCATGATACGGAAAGCCCGTCGATGACCCCAAATAAAAGGGGGGTCAGGCAAAGAAGATCTTATGCCCGTTTTCACCATCAATCCCTAATTTTTAAGTGACCCCTATAGTAACACATAACAGAAATTTAGATTTCGTAGGGGTCACTTAAAAATAGAGATTGATGGTGAAACGAGCATTAATCTTTTAATTGACATGAAGGCATATTTGTCAATGAGTTGTTACACAAATTCAAGAAATATCCATAAACGTAAAGCAAAAATTTACGGAAAATACCTTAACCTCCTGAAGTTAGAGCAGCGTTGTCTTAATCAAAAAGTCTCTATCATAAGTAAATTACTCGTTTGTCTATCGAAAACGGTGTTATACCTACTCATTATTTGTTATCAATAGAGATTTTTGCAGCAGGTACGAAGTCCGCCGGGTCAGCTTAGTTAGATATTTATCAATGTAGAGTTTTGTAAATTGAACGAGATCTTTTGCATTATTATTATTATAGAGTTCTCCTAATTAATATGAACTTTCCTATAAATCAGATTTGATATAAAATCGTCATCAACCAAACAAACACACTTTTACGTAGGTACTGTACCTACACTTAACACATATTAATTGACAATTATTATGAAGGCATTTGACCCTGTTTGACATGATTAACGACAGGGTTCAGCATGATTCAATAGGTACGAGTAATAATTTCATACTTAATTGTCAATAAATTGATGGAAAGAACCGGACAATAAATATGCTACCTACTTTTGCTGAATTATCTTTATTGTTTTGTAATAATAAATAAGCATTGACATAATTATTTACTTTGTACGAGATTCTTCTTAATTAGCTTTAATTAATATTATTTATTTATTTTGGCATACTAGTTTTAAGACCATTATGTGCAAATAAATATTTGAATTTGAATTTGAACCTACATAACTTCAAGAAGACTACTCATAAAAGTTGAAATCAATTTTTTCAGTGAAACATTCACTAACTTTGTAATCAAATTATACTCAGGTAGGTAGGTACTAACTTTAATAGAAATATGGTTTAAAATTTCGTACATGTGTACGTATGTTGCACTGGTCAAAGCTCCTCACGCATGAGGTCAAAGATAACCGGAGGGTTATCTAATAGTTATTTTGTTTGTTCATTGTTTTGCGTAAGAAATAAGATATTTTTTCAGTACTTTTAATACACCAAACTATAACACTATCAGTCGAAAATCGACTTTATGTTCATAAGAACTTCAGGTAATATGTAAGATTATCAACAAATGCTACCTAATTTTTTTTGTTAAATGGTCTCGCAACCGTTCGCCCCTTATCTTGCACCCATTTGCCTAAAAATATCTTAAATACCTTGCGAATAAGTTCATTTATAGTATGAGAGGCGAAACTAACGGGGCGAACAGGTCTGAGAACCTTAAAATTAAGAAAATTTACATCAGTTGTCGTCAGCTGGATATCGAAAAATGCAGCATGACAACAACTTCACTTAACTTAGTAAAACAGTTGCCAATCCAATTTTTACTAAAAAATAATGTAGAAAATTTAAAAATCTTACCGGATTCGCACTTCTTGGTGACGGAGACGTGCGCCGCCGCTACGGCGAGGATCACCAAGATGGCCACCGCTATTTGTTGCTTCATTTTCACGTCTTGTTCTCACCGATGCCGGGACCGATATGCTAAGTCTAGAGGTCTAAAGACTTTATCAGTTATAACGAGCGCTCAGCAACGAGACACAGTAAAAGGATAACAGTAATACATCTATAACTAATTGCTAGAGCGCTAAGTACATTTTTATACCGCTCTACCTCACGCTTCGGTACTTAGGTAAAACTAAAACGGTGCAAACCATGTAAAAATATCGTGTAAATTAACAATTTGAAAGGTGAGTCCCAAAAATTAATGTAAATCTGACGAAACAAATGGATAGCAAGCTGTATTGTGTGTCACTATGAGTCAGCAAGGCTCTGTTTACAACAATGTCTTTAGTATATAATCAACCCTATCTTTCAAAGTAAGAAACAACGACAGAAACGGGAAGGTTGTGAATGTGAAATTTCTGGCAATGTGCACTCGTCGTAAGACATTTTATTTTAGAAAGGATTCGAAATGAAATACTGTTCTTGTTTCACTATGGCAAGATGGCATATAAGTGGTCATCGATTAGTTAATGAATCGCTAATCGTTCGTTAAGAGATCAATTGTTAGCATTGTTTGTTTATTGTGCTTAGCAAATTACTGTGTTTGAGTGGATTAAATTGCTTAAGGAGAAAGGTATTCTTTTTTGACAAATTGCGGAGCAGCGAAATAGAAACCGCTTATTACAAATGGTTTAATCAAATTGGGTTGGATATTCAAAGTAGGTAATTTACATTAAGTGTGGGAATATTTTCCTTCCCCAAAGGGCGATGAAGCGTGCTATGCTTGGAGTTTCCCTGTGTACTTAATCGAATCAGAAATCCCCAGGAGCACCAAAGTGACTGACATAGCCCGCAGAATCGCTAAAATCAAGTGGCAGAGGACGGGGCATATAGCTCGTAGAGCTGATGGCCGCTGGGGCAGAAAAGTTCTCGGTGGCGATCACGAGCCGGAAGACGTAGTGTGGGCATCAAGCCTCCCACTAGGTGGACCGACGATCTGGTGAAGGTCGCCACGCCAAGGTGGGAGGTGCCTGGATGCGGGCGGCGCAGGACCGGTCTTTGTGGAAAACCTTGGGGGAGGCCTTTGTCCAGCAGTGGACGTCTTTCGGCTAAAACGGACGAACGGGAATATTTCCATACAAGATACACCCGCAGAAATCTCGTGACTTTATGTCAAAGTCTATGTCTCCTTTTATGTAAACATTACTATTTACAGACAAGTGTAAATACATATTATGTGCATCCTGACATTATGACCCGGATTAGTAGATTTAACTGTAGTTTAATGTCGTCATCAGACTACAATTTTGTAGCAAAATCGCCCCTATCGCACCGACTTATGATGTTTAGCTGAACGTGCTGTTGTTTTATCAATGACATCGATTTGTTGATATCCGTGTAGACAGAATACTACAGACTGTTTACGTACTAACTTTGCACCCAGACACATGTTACTGTCCTAGTAATTGGTTAATTACTTAAGTTAGTTATCGCAAATCAATAGGGAATCTAACATGCGTATTGAGTATCGACACAAAAATGTTTAAAATGTATTAACTTTCTCGAAATAATACCTAATATGTGTTATTTGGGAATATGTTTTTAATTGATTGTAATTTTAGCCCATTTAAATAATTTATACTTTTTATCTAAAGTCAAACGGTTATCTGGAACCTAACATTAGTTACCAGTAATTATCAGTGTTTAAGTTAAAAGCTTAATGCTCCCACAATAATCAACTTGCCTAATTAAAAAATGCCCTCTCATTTGTGAATTAAAGACAATAAAAGTCAGTCGCTTCTTATACAAAATTTATTAGGTACTTGTATACCAAAATACCATGGAAATAATACATAAAATGCCTATGAAATGGAGCGTTGTCGATTTTCGTTGTTCATTTTTATGAGTATTTACAAAAAATATCAACTACATCTAGATATTTACATAATTATACAAGTTTACACACAAGAGTCAACTCTTTGGCATGTCATTGCAGTGTGTAAAATGTTATAATCGAAGTACATAATGTTAAAAAATAACAAAATTAATACCTATTGCCGACATGAACTTTTAAAAGTATATTCAGGCTTGCAATAATAAGTAAGTGCTCTTGATTTTCCAAAATACCTTGCAATTTTGTATCAGAACTTGCTTAGAAAGTATGTCAAAATGACGTATGATATAAGGGGATTGGAAAATCGTCCCATAATTGAACACGTAACATGTCATGGTTTGGTTATAATTATATCTAATAAGAGTATTATTTAATTGCTATAATGAGTATTATTTAACCAGCACTTGTTTACTAGTATAGATGTTCCGTTTCCAATAACATTTACAGTCGGGAATACCACCATAGCGTTCGCTAAAGTTGTAACTCCATGGGAAAACTTCCAGGATTTTTTTTCCCGAAACGGTACACCTTAGTATATGAGTATGAACATCAGTCAGATTTGAAAATAATTACATTCAATGCTTAAACACAATTAATTATGTAATAGTCCCGAGCTTAATGTTATATTTACAGAATTAAACCTATCAAATAATTTCATGATAATTAAATAAGTACTTTGTATGGAATACTCATTCGCCAACACTACTTGTAAAAAACATCCATACGATTTTTCCTATAATAATATTTAAGCTAGTACCTCCACTAAAAATAATATAGCCTTAAATTGGAATGAAAAGTTCATTTCGTTGTTTGTTTCAATATACACAATCAATATGAACACATTTGTAAAGTTTATGAAGTCCTGAAACTGCAGGATATATTTACAAAACATGACACTCGAGCGAGTGTTTCAGTGTTCTTCTACTAATAGGGACTATAAAAGTTGATACAGTAGTAAAAGTATAAAAGTTGATAAATTCGGACACACTATTTAGACTCGGGAAAGCCGTTTAAGGTCATAGCACACTTACCAACCCGGAAAGGGAGCAACATTTCGCCGCGAGGCGAGGCGTTTACGTTACGGTGCGGATAAGTGTGCACTGCAGTACGGAGTTTCATACAGAGAATACTAACCACTGCACCTCGAGTTGATACGGTTCCTATCCTTTTCCGGGCTGATAAGTGTGCTTCATCCTTTAGCCTCCCCTTTTTTATTTAGGGGAACGAAGGTGGTTTCATAACTCTTCAACGCCACAGAACAGACTACTTTAGACATGTCATACGATAGCTAACGTCGTGGTTGTGTTGTGAGGGTCGTCTCTGGACAGGTGGTGGAGATCCTGGTGGATGCCAGCCTCCTTCAGTATCCTCATCCTGGGTCCCAGTGGCACCCCAAGAGCGCGGAGTTTGTCTTCGCCGACGTAAGGGAGCTCTGCCGCTCCAACTTTTTCTTTTTCCAATAAAGCCGCGTATTTCTGTAAAAGTAAGGGTTTTATTGAACGAAACATGTCAAAAGAAAATAGAAAAAGTTAGAGAATGTCTCTCTTTTGAGGTAAAAATGTAGATAAAACAACTAGGAACTGTACAAAGTCTTAGCAGAGTACTTATTATTATTCTGTGGTCTTACAGACAGCGTATGTAGTCTCATCATAGTCATCATTTCAGCCACAGGACGTCCATTGCCGAACATAGGTCTCCCGCAATGATTTATAGAAGGATCAGTTGATAGTGGCCTACATCCAGACCAGAGACTTCTTGCAACCTTTATTTTATACACAACGAGGAAGCTCTTGGCCTGCATCCTATTTGACGGAAAGTGCTGATCAGGCCGAACGTGGAAGCAAGCTTCACTTGGAATCCTAAACTATAGTGTATTATGAATGTTGCTATCTATTTCCTTAATAAATAAATAAATAAATAGAAGCACTTCTAATTGTCGGAAAACAAGAATGCTGTTAACAATATTGTAATGGCGACGGACCTAGGTAGACTTGCTTACCTCATATCCGAGCTTCTTGAGGAACAGCCTCATGAGCGGCGGCTCGTCTCCGAAGAACTTGGTGAGCCGCTTTACGCGGTCGGGGTTGCTGAACGAAAACGGGTCTGAGTGCCGCTGGTGACCCGAGCGGATGTACTGCTGGGACCTGAAACGGACATTGGGTCTTTAATTTTTAGTTGTCGCAGGTAGAAGGACAATCTAAGTGAAACACGATTAACTATGTTATCAGGAAAGTTTGGCTAGTAAGTGCGGATTGGGTTGGGAATTATTCATTTAACCCTTACTTTGTGGAAATATAATATGATGGTTATAATGGCCCCTGGGGCTCTGACTCATGCATGAGTAGCTTCGCGTTTATTGACGTCCACTTCGTCATGTCGAGGTTATGAGTGTGCACTTACCATCAGACTGGTGCCGCGGTGAAACGATTTTCTACTAATCTTTCGGACGATTAAAACGTGAATCACTTGCATATGTGACTGAAATGATAATAACAGAGCTGCTGCTGCCACATCTACGTGAAGTGCTATTGCTTGATATATTTCTCCTGCTTCGTAGAATCATCTTCTGATTAAGCTGTAATAGCTCTAGTGCGCACTGCTTCCACTGGCCTATAAGTGTGCCGCAATAACTCCTGCTAGTAGAGAAACTTTCTACTAGACCTTTTGAAGTAGTATTGAAGTAAGACTCACTTGTACATGTGGCGCAGCGCCAGCAGCTCGGCGCGCACGGCGTCCACCTCCTGCATGACGAGGTGGTGCGTGCGCATCTCGCTGGACAGGTGCGCCACCGAGCGCGCCAGCGTCACCACGTGCGCCTGCAGCCGCTGCGAGCGCTTGTTGTGACTCACTTGTACATGTGGCGCAGCGCCAGCAGCTCGGCGCGCACGGCGTCCACCTCCTGCATGACGAGGTGGTGCGTGCGCATCTCGCTGGACAGGTGCGCCACCGAGCGCGCCAGCGTCACCACGTGCGACTCCAGCCGCTGGAAGCGCTTGTTTATTCCCTGGAAGAAAGCGTTAATAATATTAGAATAGGTTCGAAAGTATAGTCTGGTCTGTGAGCACGTAGAATTTTGTCCAATGACCCCAGCTACCCATCCTTATCGCTCGCGCGTAATTGTGTTGCTGTCGCGCTCGCACACTCACTTCGGGCGCCCGTCGCACAATATAATTACGCGCGAGCGATAAGGATGGGTAGCTTGGGGTCATTGGACAAAATTCTACGTGCTCACGGACCAGACTTTAATCAAATCTCTCATTCCCACTAACTTCAACTCATTATATTGTATAGTCAGGATCTACTACAAGCATAGTACAGGTTGACAAGATATAGATAGATAGTAAATGGTTAATAGTACGGAGTTTGTTGATGATCAAATTAAGATTGTCAGAGGAATGAAAGTGAGTTTGGGAGAAAGGGAGCTAAGGTTTTCAACTGCTGCATTCTATAGAATAGTACAGTGGCAGTTACAGTTATGTGCATACCTTCAGATCATGTTTCTTCCTGTGGTCATTGGAGCTTCGCCTCTTCTCTCTCACTGGTCTACTGCTGACTGAGCTGGACGGTAACGATGACATGCTTCCGTATCGACGTTTGGACGATAGCCTGTAAAAAGTACATAATTTATTTTAACATGTTAACTAACTATACTCTCGCACTAAGCGTTTCGATGACTCTTTTATAATGCGAACAGCTAGGGACTGGAAACTATAATCCGGGCCTTTTCAAGGCGAGAGTGAATAGGCACTTACAGGGCAGATATAGACTGCATCCCACTTAACATCAGGTGCGATTGTGGTCAAATACCTGCCTTGTTATGCATAAAAAAAACTAGTCACAGATCTGGTATTTTATTAGATGCTTTACTATGATTTGGTGTGATAATTTACTATACTTGGTTCAAATCTAAACCTTTGTTCTTCTTTGTTCGTATCTTCTTCAATCAGTCTCAAAAGCCATTATTACATTGGACGCTACCGTATATTATAGCCTTGGAAGACTTCTTACCTGGATTCCCAAGTAGGATGCTTAGCCAAACTAGCCGGCTTCCTCACTCCCAACAGCTGCAGGACCTCAGCATACATGTTCTCTAATCCTCTGAGCTGACGGCGAATGGCCCTCGCGTCTCCCGTGGAAGCGTCACTGTCTGTCCTCCCATCCAGGAGAGAGGAGAGGTCCAGGCTGCGGGTGGTGGTTGACGTCATGTCGGTGGTGTCTAGCCCGAAAACTGGAAAGAGAAAATGTTTATTCATTCATTTATTCGTTGAAACCAATAGTCGTTCACTGCTGGACAATCCTTGGAGAGGCTCTAAGGATTTCTACAATAACCGGTCCTGTGCTAGCCACATCTAGGTTCTTCCCGAGACCTTCACCAGATCATCGGTCTACCGAAATTGTATTAAACATCGAGTGATGCTATAATATCGAATACCGACAGTGTTGTGCGTCGAGAACTTTAAGTGCGTAGTTGATTGGTGCCTGAATTTGTGACACTCATTGTTCTTATTATTTAAAAAAAACTATTTAACTACAGTACCTACTATTTATTCATCAATGCTAAATTGATCAGACGTCTATTACTTAAGTAGGTATGTTTGTTTATACTCACGGTGTTTCTTATAATGGTGATCTCTTTTGGACGAATGTTTCTTGTGGCCGTGCCAGCGCGGGGACTCTCTGCCTCGTCTTCTGTCCTCAGGGTACTCCGACGACCGACCTGGAAGGCTGCATAAAACATTTTTTAAAATTAATTTATTCATTATTTCGGAATAAGAGGCTTCTAAAAACATACTTAAACTTCTAAATCCAACTAAATCCTACTAATATTATAAATGCGAAAGTTTGAATGTTTGTGACTCTCTCACGAAAAAACTGCTGAACGAATTTTGATGAAACTTTACAGTATTATTGTTTATAACCCAGAATAACATATATGCTACGATCTGTGATTTGTGACAAACTAAATTTTACGCGGGTGAAGCTGCGGGCAAAAGCTAGTAACTTAATAAAATAAAGAATACTTTTCTACAATAATATGAAATAAATAAAATAATATCTACAAGCAAACTCGCGCGACACAAGTATCGCAAATCTTTTTTTCGCTGCCTGAGCGGGTGGACCGTTATTTTGTGTGCGCAAGCGCCGCAACAGTTAGTTAGGTGCGGGTAGATTTGAAATAATCAACCTCAAATAGGTACGGAACGTTAAATATATTTATTCTCGTTGTTCCAGTCAGCGTTTGATCACGTTCGCCGCTGGTCGAAATGTCACCGTGTCGGACGAATAAAGGTAACTAAATTAATATATTTGTTCATTATACGTAGCAATTACACGTAGTAGGTACAAAAAATTAGGATCTAGGTACGTTTACTTTTTGTTTAAGAATTTGATTCCATCTTTGAGAAATTAAAAGATATTTACGATATTGGTGACTGCTTTTAACCCTCGACGCAAAAAGGAGTATAATATTTAAAGTTTGACGTGTCTGTGTGTCATCATATTATTATCTCTGAACGAATAAACCAATTGTGATGCGTTTTTTTTCGAACCTGACGTGATAATTTTTTTTTCATTGCGAACTTAGTGCCTATTGTGATGGTATTGTGATCAAGATGGTTCTCATTACCTATTTCTCTTGTGCATGTCAGACGACGGCGACAACGGCGGTAGCGGCGGCGTGACAGAACTGTCGGAGCTGGCCGAAGAGTCCAGCCTCATGCCGGCTAGCTTCGGCTCCAGGATCTGACGCAGTTCGCATTCTACTAAGTCTGCCCATTCGTTCTCGCCGCCTGGAAGAAGGAGAGCACGGGTGAGTACTAGTAACCTAGTTTTATTATTTAAAATGTATCACGGTTTTAGCTTACTGTTTATGAAACAAGACAATTCAGCTTTTTTTGTTGATTATAACGATTTATTTTAGAATAAGGGGTAAATAGTATGTGAGTGAATAATGTGCGTAGGTAGGTACCTAAATAAAGTGCTTGTATAGTGGCGTGAATCGTTAGCAATTTTGATAAATTGCTCAATAGTATGGCAATCGCTTAATACGTTTGTACTTTGTACGTAAATTTGTGCAATTTATACCTCAAAATGAACGGCCCTACCTGCTGGAACGTGAAAAGTGAAGAAAACAAAAACGAGATTACACCCGGTTAAATTATGCTAAAACATCAGCAAGTCTAACGTACTCTGGCCCGCCGCTTGCTGGCTGGTCCCCGGTTGAGGCTGGGACCTCGAAGGCCCCACAGCATCAGAGTCGGCCGACGTGTCGTGCAGACTGGCCTCCGGTCTCCGCCCGCTGGAGTAGGCCACGCTGCCTCGCCCGGAGTCCACGTTCGATGACTGTCCACCGTTTTTGTCGTAATCTGCAATGTTTATAAAGCTTCTTGAAGACGGCACGATGACCTGACTGATGGGCGGAGAACTATTGTGAAAGATGCTGCTTAAATCATCTTTCTATATCGAGACATTGGGCTATAGGCTAGAGAAAGTTCTACATGAAGTACAACTTTGTGTGTGTATATTTTTTATGTGTAAAGTGTAATGATTAATAAATCTAAATTATCCTAGTCAAAAATCTAACTAACTATTACATTACGTTAAAAGAATATAGCTTAAAATTAAATTGATAAGTTCTCAAACAGCGTTGCCAATATATCCACATTTTAATTAGTGAACAGACAAATTAGTGATAATTATTTAGCTATTAATTAAGCATCGCACATAAAATAGACTTGTTCGGTAGATTTATGCTAATTCATTGAAATTTTATCTCGCCTGAGGAAGAAATTAACATACAGATTGCTTTCAACCGGAATAATGTTATTCTAATTCGATACAAATCCAATTTTTCAATTGAGTGACAGTGAATGTGAAAGTATAATGTAATACTAGTACTTAAATCACAATCTAGTGTTCTCTAACATTTTCGTTTGTATGTTTTTTGTTATTGTCTCTAGTCTTAAGCCTCGTTTAAATATTATTTGGCTATGTATTATAATTTCTGATCATCTTTCAACGAATGATGAGTGAAACTAACTACTCGCATTACTTGAATCTATGTATTAGTAAATTAGGAAATACCCGAACTAGCACCAGATCCAGCTCCCTTCTTCCCGTGGGCCTTCAAATCTTCTATCCTGTTCGGCGTATGCCTTGAAGACGACGGCTGCGGATGGTTCGCCTCTGCTTTACTGTTCGAATTATACACGCTGTCCACCGACTTCTGACTTGCACTCTCGTCATTCCTTTCCGCATGACCTGATGCTTCTTCTTTAATCTTCTGCCCTATCGAATCAGGCGTTCTACGTTCTTTATGAATATCTGGGGTTCTCCTAGATTCCCTATGCATGTCAGGTGTCCGTCTTGATTCCCTATGGATTTCAGGAGTGCGTCTTGATTCTCTATGTATTTCAGGCGTCCTTCTAGATTCTTTGTGAATTTCCGGCGTTCTTCTGTACACGTTCTCCTGCATTCTATGAGACTCTATTGAACGCCCACTGGTTCTGATTCGCTCTTCAAAGCTAGATCTGCCCTGAGCTGCTAGCCTGGCTCTGAAACCTCCATCATCTGACTCCCTCTCATCACAAGTCCTCTGAGGTTCATTTTCGTGCACTTCTAAAAGATTCCCATGAGAGTTTCTTCTTGATCTATCATGAATCTGCGGTGTGGTGACTTCAAGTCTTGGTTGTGGTTCATCTAGAAGATGAGGGTGTGATGTGGCCCGTCTGCCTTCTACTAATCCTCTTTGCCTTATGATCTCTCTTTCCAATTGTTGAGGACTTCTGAGGTCTGGTCTTGAGTGTGAGTTTTCAAACTGGAAAAAAGATAAGATACAACTATCAAAATGATTTAGGAAATACATAGATGAAAATACATTAAGTAATTTAGCTGAATGGTAAACGTATGAATTGCGATAGTAATTGAAGTGTTGATCATGGAAAAGGAAGTAATAAAACCGAGTTAATATAGTTGTAAATTGTGAAGAGACTATTATTGGTTATGCGCAGTCAATTAGCAACTAAAAGGTAACCGTAAAGTCATAATACAGTTGAAAAGCATTAAGCTGCTTCCTTTGCTTTGGTTATCTCGTTCTCAGATAAACTGGTTATGTTGTGATTCTTTTCGTACATAATTTTAATCTCGAAGCAATCAAAATATTAAAATAAAACGGCACATTGTTGTCTAACAAACAAAAGGAGTGGATGATTAAATGATGCAGGTGAAAGTAATTACACGGATTAAATAATAATTGAACCAAAACATGGCCGAGGAAGTCTGTATAGAAATTCGAGTTGACTGACGCGATTGACTTATTTATGGAAAAGAAAACAATGATTCAATAAAGTTTCTTGCGGCGAGCGTACAACGGCACGATCTCTCGTCGGCATCAAAGTCGGTACATGTTATTGTAATTGCGGCGTACGTGGGAAAACCTCTTAATTGTTGGGAATCATTGTTCTTTGTGAGGCTGCCAGTGAGAACGGAACGGTGGCCCCAAGAAAAGTGTTGCAAGACTATTGCAGAGTTTTTCAAGATAATTCTTAAGTTTTTGGTGAATGAATATTACGAATACGGTAATTAATTTGGAACATTGGTTAATGCGCGGCATTTTGACTCGTTACCTCAACTTTCCCATGAAAGAGCTATTCAGAGCTTCATTATAAAAGTTACTTTATTTGGAAAGAGCAGTTTCGGACTTTAATAATCGCTGATGTTTTATTTTAATGAAGATTAATGGACTATTGCAGAATGATTTCAAATGCACAAGAGAGTACAATAACTCAAGACTTTTGAAAGTCTCCCGAAAACTTATTTAACTTTTAAAATTAATCTTACCGACGTTTGGGGTCCCGTTTTCAGAGAAGTGAAGTTGGCCATCGATCGAACGTCAACGTCTCTCTGATAGAGGGCACTTCTTCTGCCGGGTGGTCCGTACTGTTGATACAGGGCGTCTGCCCCTAACGCCTGGGGTTGTTGTTGCCGGGAGTGGGGTGTTGACGCCAGCATCTCTTGTGACCTGGCCTGGTGGTTCAGCATCATCTGTTGCTGAACTATCTGCTGCTGCATCATTTGTCTGAGGAATCACAAAATAAATATTCACTTTAAATTCAGACACTAAAGCCAAATAAGTAAAGGATCAGCAAAACCAACGCGATCACACGCGATCAGCCGGCGTGCAGCGATGGCAATCAATGCACTTAAGTCTGATCGCCATCGCTGCACGCCGGCTGATCGCGTGTGATTGCGTTGGTTTGGCTGAACCTTTAAACATTTGAATTTAAGTATTGTCTTTACCTGTGTGGAGATGGACTGGGATATGCCATATTATTTGCCATGCTGTGTCCATACTGCATATCAGGTCTGTTCTGCGGCATTGGTCTTCCATAAATTCCCTGCTCCATCTTCCTCGTGCCCGTCTCTCTTGGCGTCGCCTGCTCAGGCTCCGGCCTTTTCCTCTCCTCGCTATTATTCAAACTAGGTTCAGGTTCGTTGTTCCTCTCAGCCTCATTGGTGTCTTTACTTTTAAATCTACTTGAGATCATGTCTTTGAGTGTATGATATGTCTTACTGACTGATTTATTGCTTTTAGGAGCGTCTCTCGTGCTATCTTTGCCTGTTTCTACGGTTACTGTGATCATTTGCGAGTTGTTCGGTGTCTCAGGTTTTGTGCCATACATATTTTTGGCTGGGATAGGTGGTTTAGGAGAGTCATAGCCTTGGATGTTTCTAGAAACTGCTCCTTGGTTCTGATTCTGGTGCATAGCGTAACTGTAGTTTTCATGGAACTGTCTGAAGTTGTCGCCTGAGGTGCCAGCCTGCTGGTTCTGTGGAAGACATAGTTTTCTGTCATATTACAGTTGCATTGTGCGATGGGAAACGTTGAAACAATGGTCTATTGGTTGGTGGAATTTAAATTGCCCTCAGTTTGATACCTAGCTGTATCTGTTAAGTATAAATCACGCTTGTGAAAGCCTCGATTGTCAGTGGAAAAAATAATGAAAGCCATTTAACTGGAATGCGATTTGCATATACTGTGTTTATCTATGTTTTGCGGAACGGTACATGTTTTCTTAGCTTATGTAAGTATCTGAAAGTTTACAGAACAATGGGCTTCTTCCGATAAGCTTACTTGTTAACGTGTTTTTCTATTACAACGCTGTTGATTTATGAATAGGGTACTTTCTTCTCTTTATGTCCAATTTCTTATATCGATTATAAGATAAGATAAGAATACTTTATGGGACACGAATTATTAATCGTAATTCAATAAATGGGGGTATTAACTAACACAGGTAATCAATCTTAAATGCTACTTATTTAATGATGTTTTTAATTTTATTTTATTAGAAGCAATGAAAACTTGCACAATAAGGATTATGGTTTACTGGTATTATTACTAGTATTATAAACTTCATTGAATAATAATTATGCAAACAATAACATTGTTCGCAAAGTAATTGTTTAGGTTAACAAACTATAACAAACTAATAGAAGTTTACGATACTCAACACAAACAGGACACAGACACGATCAACTAAAACGGTTTACTTCCTTGCCTCCAATCAGTGGTTACTGCCTGAGCCACACAACACAACGCACGTTAATTGTCTATAAGTATGTTTGTTTACAGTTAGGTAAAACCGATTATGGTTGAAGTAGCTACTAAAAGACATAAATCAAGTAAAGCGTAACATTATTACATACTTCATACCATACTTTACAGACTTGATTAAGATTTCAATAAATATTTACTGATGAAGTTAGTCTTGTCGAAAGTTTTTTAAGACAATTTTTTTTTGCTTTCAATTCAATAAATTGACGTATATTGGTGCTCTGAAAAGGACCTATAAACTAATAAAGACTTGGAATAAGAATATTTTATATTGAAAGAAAAGCTTTCTAAATAACCTAGTGCCAAATAAAAAAAAGTATATTCAATCCGTAGCTTCACACAAAGCATCGTAAATTCTATGACACTGGTTTCACCAAAACTTTCTGTCACTTTTTAAAGAAAACTTCAAAAACACCAACATTTTCCAAAGCGAACTCGACCATGGTCGCTGGGTGCGCGCGCGCATGTCATGGCTCCGTCAGAACTGAGCGCGCGCGATGCGATGCGCAGGGAAGGTGCAGCTATGACGAACGTGCGACACCAATCGAGTTGGGAAATATTTTTGATGTTAACGTGAAAAGAAGAACGGTCATCTGTGACCCAGGCCCGACAGAAACGAGACATACCTCATTTTTTTTGTCATGTCTTAATTAGTTAAATTATATATTTTTTATATTCGAAATCTATGTATAACACCAAAATATTACCCTTTGTTTTTGTTCAGGTGTTATACAAAAACTAATACAAAATGCCTTTTTATCACCAAAATTGGTAAATGTATGTACCTAAATGTCTATTACAGCTGCTATGGAATGTATCTAGGTGACCTGGAGATAGGTACAGCCGGATTATACAGGGTGGAAATGAGAAGTTACAAAATCCAAAAATTCAATGCTTCCATAATCTGTAACCTATTATTGGTACCATTTGAAAGAGCTCGTGAAACACTTTCAGAATCAGTAACTAGTTTTTCGATATCTTGTATAGTTTAGAAATAATCGAGTGAGATCACTTATCGTTCCATATGTATAACCACCCTGTATATTCCGGCTGTATCTCCAGGTCACCTAGATACATTCCATAGCAGCTGTAATAGACATTAGGTACATACATTTACCAATTTTGGTGATAAATACGCAATTTGTATTAGTTTTTGTATAACGCCTGAACAAAAACAAAGGGTAATATTTTGGTGTTATACATAGATTTCGAATATAAAAAATATATAATTTAACTAATTAAGACATGACAAAAAAATTGAGGTATGTCTCGTTTCTGTCGGGTCTGGGTTTTTTTTGTATGGGGCGTGACCGTTCTTCTTTCTCACGGAAAAGTCACTGACATGTTTATTTTGATTTTGATGGTAACTATTGTACTCGTAGATTATGCATAATAGGCTTAGGGTTTGTCCGTGATTACCACAATTATGAAATAACACTTTATAAAGATCAGAATAATCTGTCCCCCGAATGAAGAAGAAAAATGGATCTGTCTATGTAGCATAACAGAAATTTTTGATGAAAATCTGCTGTATTGATTGCAATAAGTGCTATATTCCAGATTAACGTGATTTGTCATAGCCACTTTACCTATAAGTGCTGCAAAAACACTGACAACACATCACATTAACGATGAAGATATTATTATAATTTGATACAAGTAATAAAGTTAACTTTCTCTGAAGTAACAGCAAGTAATGGCACTCGCGCGCATGCCACGTGATCTTCCAATCCAATGCTCTGGAATCACCGTGAAATTACTGTAAGGGCAATAACGTAGACGTTAACTATTAGTGGATCGGTTAGAATAGAAAGTCGTTTGGTGTGACGGTTAAGATTTAACGGTTGTAAAACGTTTTTCCTTAAAGTTGTTATGAATTCGCAGACTCGATTAGAGATTCAATTTGAACAATATTGTTCTTAACGATTTAAATCAGTCTCAGTAGTTTTTGAAAACACCTTCAATAGTTACGGCACTATATCACTCGTTAGTGTTCAAACTAAAGGCACGACAAAAAAATGGCGTTACCAGTTAGGTATTCAATGTGATAAGTCTTTAGTTTGTGATGTTCTATCAGATTTTTTTTCTATCCAAACCACTATCAACAATCACAAAATAAAAAAAGAACAGCAATTATTCTAAGTCGCCCGAAACTAGTGACTAGCTTCCTAACCTTTCTTCTTTGACTTTTCATATTCGTCGTAGCAAGACGGCACGCCGCGGCCCGTTGCGTTCGCCGTAACGAGCGACAAGGCGCCGCGTGAATTTTTATGGGCTCCTATCGTCCCTTTGTTCGGCGCGAGGAAGTCACGATATTTTATAATAGTTGTAATTATTATAGATGTTTATGTCATACGGCTAGTCTAGATTTTATTACAGTATCAAAGCTTTATCTATTAAAAGGCGATAATTCTTAGTTTTAGCTGTTGTCATGCAAACGATTATGATATTACTGTAGGTTTTAGTATCTGACGTCTTATAATACGAAGGGGTTACAGATCAAAAAACTAAAATATGGAGCATCATCATCATTTCAGCTATAGGACGTCCACTACTGAACATAGGCCTCCCCAATGATGATGAAACATGGATAACACAATAATGTTTTTAACTTTACAACAAGAACGAAACCATTTGGTTTTTGATCCGCCACTGGAAGATGCATCACGAAAGTTGTTTCCGGAAAATCTCGCTAGGTGGCGCTGGTTTGGGGTTGCACATGAAAAGTGCAGATTGCATCTTCTCTAAATATGTATAGGCACACAATTAGAATGGCACATTTCAAGTTTTTAATTTGTGATTAAATAGAGCGCGTGATATATTATTCCTAATTAAACCAAAAAGTGAAAACTGACTCGTGAAGGATTTGAACCTCCGCCCTCCGATAGCCGGATTCTGAAATATATCGGTGCTCTAACCCACTGAGCTAACGAGTCTTGTTGGGGGTGGGCGAAACTAGGGTGCTGGTGGCGCTTGTAGCCACCCTCGTATCTATAGAAGATACGCATATAGGCGTATGATAGCTTAATAAATTGCTTTGTATCGTGTTTGGATGTAATATTTGAAATGCAGAATCATCTGACTCGTAACAACAAATTGAAAGTAACATAGTATTGTGAAGCATTATGAATGATACAATCAACTCTATGTTAAGTATGTGTTATATTTTACTGATGATTGCTGTTGTCTTGTGAGTTGTGATTAAGAATTGCCGTGTTCGCGACTTCTGTGAAGAACGTTTTGATAGGGTCAGTTTCGGATATGTCCCCTAACTTCTAACCATTTAATAGCAGTGTACATCCATCAGATAAATATTTCAGTATTAAAATGTATAAATTCACAGCGTACGATTCCGTATTTTAAGGGGCACGAAAAAACGCAATCAATAGCTATTTATGAAGTCTGCCATCAGGCCCATAACCATTACTGACCGCCCGATAACAAGTGCTTTAAGTGACCATCCACCTGTTCTGTCCAACGCAAGAAAGCGTGCACATGCTCATACAAATGCGCCATAACCGGCGACGTGTGACGGTTCCTTGGTAGGTGCCTGTGGTCCGTGGCCATGACGGGTTCCTTGCCCCGTGGGCACCGTGCTCTTCGACCATGAAGTTGTAGGGTCCGAAGCGATTTCGAGTCTTTAGCGGAGGAGAAACGGAATGGAAATCTATTGTTTGGGGTCAGTGTAAGTGTTTGGGGTAAGTGGGGCCATGGCATGCAATATGTTAAGAGACTATTATGATTAAACATTTTTGAAGTACTTACTCGTATTTGGAGAAAGAAATAATCACTGAAACTATTAAACTAACATGACATCAGAATAACAGTGAATATTTAGTATAGAGGTAACTTTTTAAAAATCGGACACGAGATAGGCTATGCCCCTGACTGAGCAAAAGTTTAAAGAAAAACGCAATAATACCATTATTTTTCAGTAGCTTTTTATTTGGAGCACACATTGTTTTTGGTTTCGTGCTCCAAGTGCGTGTGACATACATTATTACAAAAGTTTACTGTAGATCCTCATCTTTCAGTGTATTTTTAATTGGACCAGAGATTACCCCTTACATACAAACAATCATCATTTTTTCTTAGCTTAGGTAGCGCAGAAAATAATCAGCTTGTTATAACAAAATGGAAGACTACATACGCGTTGAGTAATGTTGACATGACAACGCTTAACGAGCTGTTAACTTGCTGCCGTCCTCAGCACCGAAGCAAATTGTTTAACACGTTGAATTAATTAATACAGGGTATGTAAAGGTCATGTGAAACCCTTGTGAACTATGAGGACATGTATTGACCATTTGAGATTTGACCGTATTCACTAGGGAAACAACTGCACCGCGCAAAACGTACCGACAGATTGTTCGATGTATTTAATCGTTATTATTATTTTTATTATGTAATTGAAAATATCTTATGTATTATCGTAATCGTAATCTAAGTGTTGGTTATCAATAAATATCTCTAAAGTAGTAGAAATGTAATTCATTTGTAGAGCGCGAGCTTTATATCATTTTACTTTGTGGAATTGAACTTTTTATCTAACAGTTTAGTGGTCAATTATTCTATTGTGTAAAAAACCAACAATTCACTTTCACGCACGTAAATTACATGTTACGATATAATAATTTTGTTGAAAGTCCTATGATTATGTTCCATATCGGTAAACGCTTTATTTACAACACAACAACATTATGTTGTTCAAATTGCGACTGACAGTTCATAATAAATATTTAATGAATTAATTATATTTGGTGAAGTTTATTGCGAATGTGGTCATCTAACTCAGTCAGTCAATTAAATGAGATGCAGTTCGTTAGTTGGCTATCTTTGACGTCATAGGTACGATAATTTGTGTTTCACTAACCATAATCTAATAAGTTGCATGAAGGACTTACGGAACATTCTCATAGTAAAATAGCATTAAAATTATCCCATATGGTTTCGTGATTTTTTTTGAGCTTCTTTATCATCGCGATTTTTTTGCTACGATTTTTACCCTGAAAATCAAACTTCGTCAAGAAGGTTCTCCCAAATTAATCAGATAAAGGAAGGTTTAGCTTACCTCGGCATGCGTCCATGCGGCCAGGGCTTTAGGCGGGGTGTCTGGTGCGACTGCACCGAGCCTGCCTCTCTTCCTGGCCTCCTGCAGGATCGGCACCTTGGAGTTCTTGTCGCCGGATGACAGGATCACTTCGCGTTCTATCTGTGGGAAAAGGGAGATTGTTGAGAACTCTACAACTTTATTTTGGCTCTTAAGGAAGCATGAACGACGGTAGAAAAGGAGGGAGGTGCTTGACAGTCAGAAACCATAATAAAGATGGTAAATTACAATACAGACCACATTAGCACACACTGATAACGGTTGAAAAGGAATAATGATGATGATCCATTTGACTGACTTCGGCCATGGCGACCACTCTGACTCGTAGCTGTCTTGGCGGTGCTGGTGTGCCCGAAGATGGCTTACGTAGCCGATCTTCGGAAATAAAGGAAGAATAAAGCGCTCTTGATGGCAGATTGTGCATGGGATAAGCGCTGTATGAGGAGCTGACTGATGGATGACTTCTTAAGGAATAGCTATGTGATGCAGTGTACTTTGACCCTTTGTTTACAGTCAGTCAAAGTCAAAGTCAAAGTCAAAATTTCTTTATTTGTTTAGACTAATAAATAGTTCTTACAAATCGTCATATGCTCTTAAGGAACCTCTACATGTCTCATAATCTTTTTACCCTACCAGCGCTTCGAGACCAACATTTGGCAAGTGCTGAGAAGAAGCGCCGCAACAAACTCAGTCACCACTGTCTGCCGGTTAATATAAATAAATAGAAATAGTAGTAGTAGGTACATTCGATTCAGGAGCAGTTCACTGAATTCAGTAGGGGGATTATCATCAGGAGTATCTAAACATATTTTATCTATGATACTATCCAAATGTAATACAGCCATCATACAGGGGCGTGCAGAACTAAATGAGAAAATGGTTGAACAAGGTCCAAAGTCCGTAACATCGACGAAGAATCAAGTAAATCTAAAGTTTTATCGTGGCTTCAAACAGAGCTGACACGAGACATCCATAATGTAGTTATTTGTATGCACCGTCACACAATATTACGTATCTTTTGAGTAAGTTGCGCTTACTTGACGTTTCGTTGAAAGCTTTTGTCTCTTGCACTAAGCTCGGGCTAGGTAGACTGCTTTGTGTCGAATACTGGATAAATTCGAGTATTACTTAATATTTAATAACATAATACAAAGCTACAGCTTTGAAACTCGAGCGAAGCGAAACTAACTTAAACCAACAGAAATCTGCGGGATATTTCAAAATTGTTTTCCTGGGATTGTAGAGAGTAATGATGTCTATTAATTATAACCTAAGTATAAAAACACTTCACATCATAATTATTAATTAAAACCAGTGTGAAAAAGAGTGTTCGCACTTTCACAAGCATGAATCATTTGGGCGCATCGTTGCATTTTGTTAAAGCACTACAAGTAACTTTGCTGAATTTTCTCGTGCACTTTTTTCCATTTAGTAGTTTCTAGTGTTTGACTGTTTATTATAAGGGACTGTTCATTATATCCAGACCTTTTATTATGAGGGACTGACAGAAGTAGTTTTATAAAAGATTTTAAGTTACACAATATAAAACAATTTGAATAATTAGTTGCTCCGTAATGTTTAAGTTCTATTAAAAACAAACAGCTCTAAATAAAACCCACACAGCTTTTCAAGTTACTGAAAAACTGCAGTTGAAATAGAGTAAAATAGAAAGATACTTCAATTTACAATTACTTCAACATAACGAATTCATATTTTGTTAATCAAAACAAAACATATAAAAAAGCTTAGGTAATCAACATAACGTACTCACAGTTCAATCTCAGTCCGTCGAACTAAAAGCTCGCACTTAACCTTTCATATTACATTTTCACCGCAACGTAAAAAATAATACCACAACAATTTAAATCAATTATTCTATGTACCTCTATTATGTAACTAGAAGTACTAACTCTAACCTGCGCGAGCGCAGACGTCACGTCAAACCGACCCGACACACAACAATGACTTCTTAACTTCTTATTACTTTCACTGCGGATGAGATGAGCCACGCAAAAAGTTCGCTTCATACGAGTATGTTATTAGTGATCGAAAGTTTATTACGCCATTACTTACGATTATTATTACTTATTAGTACTTAATTTACTCGTAGTCACGTGAGAGCTTGAACGTTGACTCTGACACATGAATTGAATGGTAATGAAATACATAATGGTGTAGATTTTCTTATAGATATTAAAATTGCTAAGCAATGGCTTATTCAGACTTATTTTATTAGTTAGAAGCCGTTTGATCTAACTCGTCATGAATACATTTCCTTATTTCAAGAGATTCGTTATTGCCCTGATTTAGATACTACTTAAGTAATTTAGGGGTCTCGTGAAGCGTTTTTGATTTCGAATTAATTTCTCATAAATCTGTCAAAGTAGAGTACTTTATAGTTCTAATTAAACAGTTTTTAGGAGACTCATAAAGTTTGACATTAGGCATCAAGATTACGCGGTAGGCCAAAGAAGATAGAGAACCTCCACACAAATACATAATAGCTTTCGGTATCTACTCCAATTAATATTTTACAATCACCGCTCTACATTTGGCTTTATTATTCATGAGTTAACACGTCCATTAATGTTTTCACCAACACATCTTAATTTTATGAGTAAATAAGTTTAAATATGTTAATTTCTTTATTAATTGGTGAAGCTGATTAGCATTGCAAATGGTATGACGTAAGATACGTGGGGCCAATCCACATACCTACATAACAATAATAATATGTTTGACAAAATTGGGATAATTTTATCTGTTAATTATATTATAAAAGCTTCTTTTGAAGCTGCCGAGTTGTAAGATTGCAGAGAAAAGATAAATCTAAGAAACATATTTTTATTATTATTATTGGTTTTGGGCCTTCATTTGCGCCAGCTCGACCAGGTTTGATCTATTGTGGCAGCCCTTGTCTTTAGAGTTCACTGCTTAGTCCCGTTGAGTCTATAAATTTCCAGAGTCTTTGGAGCGTTATACCTGCTATCTCATCCGGGTGCATGGTGTGTCGCCCGAGATGGATACTTCTTTTGCTCATAAGCGGGCCGCATGAGCAAAGAACATGCATGGCCGTTTCTTCTTCTGTATGGCAGAATCTGCACAGAGTTTCTTCGGTTATGTTCATGTTTGATTTGTGTTTGTTTAGTTTGAAGAAACATATAGGTACCTACTATTATAATAAATGATAATAACATAACCTAGCGTATTGGACGGTATAGTACTCTAGGCACAGAACTCGCGCCGGGCGGTGGTAAAATCTTCTAAAGCTTTAAAAGCTCTCATAAAGGTACATTTCAATATAAAATCGACGGAAAGTTTCGAAGCGGCAAATATGAAACTGTATAAATAAATGTGAAATTTATAATAAAACAAAAGCCACAGCTGCAGGGACGGTATTTCGCTAAGCAGCCAAGAAATTATAAACCTGACAGAATTTACAAGTATTTTCTTCGCTGTGAGCCAAGAACGCAAAGAAAAGTATCTTTCCCAAAATTATCACTAAAAATACGGTCAAACAGCATCATTGACTATCCAACTATTGTTTCCAAACTTCCCACCATTTGAAAACCAAAGCTAAGACCATCTTTGTTCCAGTCGGCAAGGCTGCGCGGGCGCATGAAATCGGAATTACAAGCCACTTAGCGCTCGTCCGTGCCCGGCGATTGAGAGTAACGTGCGTAGACAACCATAGACAATAGTTCCGAGATGGATCAGTGTTTCTATGAAATGAAAGAGATGGAGCCGATTTTCAAATTAACAAACTGTCAAAATAAGGCTTTATGTGATGGTGACAGTTCACTCGTATTTATCGCATCTTATAATGACATTGGGAACTTTTTGCCCCACTTTTCGAAAAGTAGCGGACACAAACGAAACCTATCACAGATGATACATACTAATATCCAATGAATTTCCGTGCATTTTTTTTTCTCTCTTATATGGGAATATTGAGAAAATGAAGTTTTAATATTTTATTTTACATTTAGGTAACATTTTTGACGACCTCCGTGGCGGAGAGGCGCACACACCGGTTTTCAAGGTGTGCCGGGCCAATCCTGAGGTCCCGGGTTCGATTCCCGGCCGGGACAATATAGAAAACGATCTTTTCACATTGTCTCTGGTTTGGGTGTGTTGTGGTTCGTCGTTCCCGATTTCCATAACACAAATGCCTTAGCTACTTATTTTGGGTTCGAGTAATATATGAGATGTTGTCTAATATTAATTTAAGTATTTATAAGATTTTATTTATTTATATTATTTTATTTATATTTTTTATTTATTTATATTATTTTATTTACTTTTATTGGTTACTCTGCAATGCCAAACAACATAACATGTAAAAATATCAAATCATTTTAGACAAATATATTTTCAACTTAGACTCGTCATATCTCAGAATTCCCATATCTCACAACATAGCGCTTTAAGTGAATATACCTATAAGTATAAAGCTTTGAAATAAAATACGTTTCATTTTTGTCCGCCCTGGGGCATTTTCTCATATTAAAGTTCCCAATGTCCTTTCTTGCGAGTATTTCTAAGAACGATACCTGAATCGAGGTTTTTGGCATGAGCGTGATGATTTTCTATTCAAATATGAGCTTTTCATTTTTTTATTTTTGAGTCAAATAAATATGAGCCTTTCATATTTATAATAGGTACGCTTGCACTTTTGTTACTAGAAATTCAATTGTTTTGTTTTATTTTTATTAGAATTTATTTATTGACTATGTGTAAACGTAAAAAAACGACAGCCCGTCAGACCGCCGTACCTGAACGCATCGTAAATTCATACTAAATTGACATAACTTATACGGATAGAAAGTATGGGCACACGCATCCTGCCAGGCCACTTCGGTATAAGGCCGTAGGATTAGCATTCCTCGGTCTGGTCAGGATATACGAGTATATACGAGACGTAAGCGACGTCATTAGCGGAGTCGCTCCGACGTATACGGAGTCGGAAGAAGACTGGCAAAGTTTAATTAGACGCAGCGGGATTGTCCTTACTAATATTACATATAAAGACGTAAAGTTTGTGAGTTTATTTATACGAAGTGATTTCAGGAGCTACTGAAGCGATTTTGAAAATTATTTCACTAGGTAGATAGCTACACTATTCTAGAGACTGCCTTAGTCCAATATAATTTTTGGAAATCCGAAGCCGAAGCTGTGGGCAAAAGCTAATATATTATCTTTTTTCCGCTTAGCTCTCATCAGTTACAATTGCGCCCATATTACGAGTACTTATTACGCTTTCAGCTTTTTGACATTTTATGGGTAACTATTAACCAACTCCTTATACGTATGGTGCATTTTACTTATAAAGGGGGATACCTAATGAAATTGTGAACATACTGTGTTATCTGTCTATTAGAATTGTGCAGTACACAGCTGCATAACCAGCTTACGTATTTATGTAAACACGATGCTTCTTGCTAACGCACTTACATTCATGGTTCGTTACATCAATCTCTGTAATTCACTACAATTACTATGTTCAACTAGTCTTATTAGTGCCTTAGACTTAAAATAGGCTTTAGTTGTAGTGACAAGAATAGATTAAAATTGCTATTAGCTTGACAAATGTTTAAACAACGGGCATTGGGCAGGGTGTCCGCCCTATATTGCGCGTGGCACGATACGCACTTTGCCGGTGTTTTGAGTTTCAAATCAAATAAAATCAACTTATTTGTGAAAATATAGGTCAAAATTTATCTCGTCAGTATTTAGTTATTTATTCATCAGCACCATCAAAGAACACCAGCAAATTGAAATTAGTTTCAGCTTGTTGGTATTTTGAGGTCGATAAAGTAATCAGTTTTGCCAATTACGGCTTGCAACGGTCGATCGAGAGGAACTGGAGATTGATTGCTGATATAGATTTTACTTTGAATTTTCCGACTGTCTGTTGTGCTGATTATGTGTCTTGTTAACGTGTTTTAAATGACTTGCACTTTTTATATGTGTTATGTTGTCGTGTAATCGTGGTGGTGGTAGATAGAGTAGGGCTATGATGTGGTCACAGATGGCAAAAATTAGTCGAAGTTTTCCTTTAGCAGGATTATCGAGATCTTAGAATATGCACGTCCTCAAATCGTCTGGTCAGCCTGAGATGGGTAGGCCGAATCATTCATTGGCTTCTGTCAAAATAGAGAGGCAAAGACCTCATACAACTGATATATTGTGACAGAACAGTTCTCGAGTGGCGACTACAGACCAGAAAACTTAATGTCTCCTCAGACATGCCTGGAATCGGGCAGCTCTGAGGAGACTAGAATCTTGGGAAGGATTTCTTCAGATTCTGTTTATGTTTCTGTTAGGAGTTACGACAATAGTCCAGCGGACAATGGGCTTCGAATTCGCAGTTTGACACTGTCACTGTTGGTCTATTGTCGCTTCTTATAAATTAACTAGCGGTCGCCCGCGACTTCGTACGCGTGGATCCCGTTTTACCCCCTTCATCTATCTTACGCGGTTTAGATTTTTTTGAGAATTTCCCGTGGGAATTTTGCAATATCCTGTTGTAACTAAGCTTTAAGTTTACTAAGGTACCTGCATGCCTTTCAAGCGTCTAACTTAAGCGGTTTAGATTTTTCATACAAAAGGATTTTCCCGGTATTTCCCGTTCCCGTGGAAACTTCGGGAATTCCTTTCTTAGTGCACCTTTACGGTACCTAAGCTACGTCCCTTCCAAATCTCAAGTGCCTACGTTTAGCCGTTTAGGCTGTGCGTTGATATGTCAGTCAGTCAGTTTCTCCTTTTATATATTTAGATTAAAGAGGAACGTGCTGATGACGGGGTGGTTAAAACATCTCGTACTTACAGGGAACTTGGCGGAGTGCGTGTGCAGGGCAGCGTGCGGCGCGGACGGCGCGGGCGCACCCGGCAACGCAGCCTCCGGCGCCGGCGGCATCCTGTACGGCGGGCTCGAGACTGTGCCTGCAACAGGTGGGAAACCTTAGCTTTTGCTTTTAAACATAGTTATATACCTTTGTCTGTTACTATTAGGTTAAGTAGAGTCCATTAGATTCCATGGAGTCCACCGTTTAAGTAGAGTCCATGCCCCAAAAGGGGGAGAGTGGCAAAGAGGGACAAATGGACGAAGAATAAAGAATGCGCGGTGGAGTGCAATCTGTCCTAGGCAGCCGCAATTCCGCGCGCATCTCTCAAGATTCAGCCACAATAACCGCGAGGTTGGTATGGCCATGGGTGGTGGTGGGATTTGTTGCTATTAGGATCTATTAGGATCATTGTGACCGGCAAAAGACCAAAAGAGATACACATGTAGATTCAGATTCATGGAGTGTCTAGATTCAGTTTTTGTGTTGGAACATAGTTAAAAGTGCGCATTTATATAACGTTGTACATTTTAAAGCCTGTAAATCTTTGAAAAAGAGGCTGACAATAGTGACTGAGTTTCTTGCGCTGCTTCTTCTCAGCACTGGCCCATTTATTGTCCTGAAGCAGTGGTAGGGTTAATACTGGGACGTGTAAAAGTGCTTTTTTTAAGCTTATTTACAGAAATAAATGAGTTTTATGAGTTTTTTATGAGTTTTTTTTTTCATTTATTACCTTGAGACACATTGTGGTGGTAAAAGACCTAGAGGCCGAAATTCGAAGTCTTGGTTAGATGAGTGAGAGAGCAGTTGGGTATTCTACTCAGTGTAGCTCTCCATAAACACGAGGAACAAGTAAGCAATTTGCAAACGTCGTAGGAAGACACAATATGGTGGCATAATGAGGAAACGACTAAAGAGAGAATACCTTCAATGTTATAAGTTATTATACAGAAAAATACTAATTATTTATTTAAATAGAGCAAGAAAGTAGAACCTTTAAACACGAAAATTATATCATGATTTTTTCAGAAATCAGAGCCCAAAACTATTTACGAGTTTATGAAGCAAAGGGACTCTCAGCTTCTTTGTTACTTATTGATGATTATCATAAAAATCCAAATATTAATATGAAATATTTGTTGTTACAGTTGATCAAGGTAAGTCTGGCGGGGGCGCAATGGGGTAAGTGTTTTTGATTTTCCTTTCAGCTATTGTGATATTACAAAGATGTGCGAAAAATATGGTCACTAAATGATATTATATTATAGCCAATCATCTAGGTCTAGGTGTAGGTACTAGTTGGTAAGGATTCTTAAAATTAACTGAAACTATTTTCTTTGCTTGACATTGAATGAAGCCTTCGTTTTTACAAGATTCCTATTATCACACTCGTAGTACACAGGATCTCTCAATCATCAACCTCGTCAACACTCATCAACGGTACACGTCCATATAAGTACGATAAAATCTGATTATCACATCCAGCTTGCGTTTTATAACTAATTAAATCTAAGTACGTTTGAGAACCTTCGCAATTAACGCATTAGCTTAGCATATACTAACCAGTTTAACTGATACGGCAGACGGATACTGGTATCGCGATATTCGCCAAACAACTTTAGGGGAAAACGAGTTAGGGTTAGGCTACAACGGCTAAGCAGAAAGTAAACTGCTACTCTTTAAAAGCGTTTAGCGGACCTACATGTAACGAGTAGCGACATAGCGGTAATAAAAGACTGCGAAAGAGGGTAAACCGATTTGTCTGCAAATAACATTTCACCCGCTAGATCTTCAGTTAAGTACTCCGGTAATTTAAAATCTTATAAGTACTCCGTGATAATGGCGCTTGCAACAGTGCCGTTGCAACAGTGCCGATATTTCGGAGGCTCGTTAATAAAAAGGTACATGGTAGCAATCCCATAGAATCCGTAGATAACTATTCTAATAATAGCTGAATGGCAATAAAGTACAACGAACATACGAACTTTATTGACACACCCTTAAAACATTACTAAAACTAAACAAGTAAAAGTATTATTCCTAAAATACGTCCGCTCAGCTTAAAATGCGATGTTCTGGTCCTGTTTTTCAGTAGAAAACTCATTTTCGATTGTTTTTTTTCTGGCAAAAGATGACAGGATACATTTATTAAAAAAGGATGCGCAATAAACAACAATCAGCCGCGGGCTATAAATAGGTTTGGGAAAGCGCAATTACTTATTACTTATGTTACGAAAAAAATATGTTTTTTTTCCTTCAAGACCCATATTTTTACGTATTTAAGCTTTGGTGGAAAGCTGAAAATATTTTATGAAAGTCTGTAGTCCTTGACAAGAGTATGCGCGTCTAGTGAGTTTTACACTATTGATAATTAAAACCTAAGAGAATTGTTGTGTGTCCCACGCCTAAGATAATTTTCTCCGTTTTCCCACTAGCGTACAATAACACCAGCTGTATTAAGTGCCAATTTCTCAGGAGCATTTGTGGTTCAATAAACGAAAGAGAGCGAAAACAAATCAAATTAAATCCTTTGTTTAGCTTTCCCATCAGTAGTTTTTACTTTTGCTGTATGCTTTTTGTAGAAGATTGGATTGAACAAGGTATCTTTTAGATCAAAGTAACACGCGAAGGAGCAAAGGTATTTTATTTATAGAGATAATTAAACAAGTTTTCAATTGAAATTACTGTCGATGGGTGAATACTTACCATCTAGTATGCTACTAATTTGTCTTTATAATGTGCTTTTATGAAAAAAGTTGTGTTACGGAGTGGACAATTAAACTATCAGGATTTGAAGCTGATGGAAAGTAGGATTATCTGTATTTCGTAATGCCACTAATAGTAATGTCTATAAAAACAAAAGAACAACAACAAACTTACTTCTAAACTTACTAAAGGAGGCGGCTGTCCTACTGGCCAGTTTCCTCCGAGTTGTAATACTTAACTAACTGTTATAAAAACCTCTTTTCCTGCTTATTAATGGAAAGAGACCGACTATTCAATAAGGAAACGCTTAGCTAAAAGTGATTTGCCCTTTCATTATGTCATATGGTAATCGCGATGGGTTTCACATAAATTACATGCATTTCATATAATACGGAAGCGGCCACTATTCTAATGGCTCAGTGAGTGTCATTTCCTTAGCAATGAAAACTTTTATTGCCTCTTTGTGGCGGCGATTGGCTTCTTTAGCAACTACCAGTGACCATATTATAGCAACGCAGGGTTCTTGAGCACTTGTAAATAAGAAAATTAAGAAATAGGCCCCTTTATCATCAGAGATAATAAAGATTTTTATGTTACTTTAGTTTCATTCTGTAATAAATGCATCACTAAGAGCAATGCATTTAGAAGTATCAAAGTAAGACTGTAGTTTTCGCATTATTTAGGCGATGTTGCTACTTTAATAAAACAAAATACTAAAGGCTTTTGTCTTGCACCACACTCTACATGTGGAGGTATTCGCTCATTTCCTGTGGCATCGCACTCACTTTAGTCACCACGCATGTACAGTCCACAGTACACAATACATTATTGTTGCAAAATCACTCATAATTCAAGTAAATAAGATTTTAACTCACTAAGCTTGATACGCCGTATGTATCACTCTCGGCACATAAGCTGGCCTCAAGCAAATTGCACCGACCGCACTCAGAAATTGATATTATTAAGTTTTTGCTACTTAATTACGTCATTAGGTGCGTCTGAGCGTTTCATTTATATTTCAATTTGCTGAATTGCGTGAACACCGTTCATTTTGGAATTACCGAATTATAATATGTAGCACGCGGCATTTTAAGATGAGATTCCCTTTAAAAGGAAGCTGACCAAAATCAAAAGGTTACTGTGAATTAAATTATTAAAGGTAAACATTTTGTATGATAAATGAAATTAACCCTAACATGGAAGAGAAGAGAAAATGTGATAGGAATAAGTGAGAGGATAGAACAATACGAAAATACTGTGCTAGTTTAATAATAGCAACACTATAATGAGTGTATATTGTATGTAAATGTGTGTATACCTAGACAGTGTATCGATGTCAATCTGAAAATTCTCTCACAGGTAGAAAGCTACATGTTTGATCGGCACAGACTACTTTTTATCTTTATTTCTGTATTAAGGCAAGCGACTTCTAATTAAGTAATTAAAGTTGATTAAATTATGATGTTTTAAAATGTTAAAATTTTCTCCAGAAAAGAAGTGATCAAAGCCAAATCAGCCTCTTAAAGAATAGACAAAAACATACAGGGTGGAATTTTGTAAGGCCACCTGGAGGGAAAGTATTAATACTGTAGATAGAAAATTTTGCTCAAAGAAAACATTCCTTTATTTTTAAATAGAAAGAGAACTGCATTCAAAGAATTCCAAAAATTTGCTTGCCACACCCGGGCCGGGAATCAAACCAACTAAAATCTATAATCGACCTGTTTTTACGATGCCGCGATGGTTTGAATACAAGTAAAACTATCTGTAAATTAAAAAGCTACTTTACTAAGATTTCTCTTTACTAATTTAACAAATATACTATCGGTGTGAAATTTAACAAATATTACCAAGTTAGGTACTCTTAATTGTTTAGCACGCCAAGTAATTGATAAAATACAATTTATACGAACAAATTGAATCAGTAAAAGCATTTATGATCAATACTTTAACTTCTCGTTTTACTTGTTACCACTAATTAGGTATTACACGATTTGTAAATACCAATTCAATTACTATTATTAAATTATAATATTAATATTGAACTATTTGATTAAAATTCGTCATACCACCCCCCACAATCAGCTTTTGTTTCTTTTCATATAAGAAAGAAAAATCTTCCTCTCTCCTAAAATGCAGTGCCCCACAGGGTCCATAATTGTATCTTACCTTACCAATAACACCTTTTGTAAACATTATGGAAGCAATAAACTATTGAATTTTGAGTATTGAGAGATGGTCTAACTAATTACATAGCAAACGACACGGATTTGGACTCAATATGTGCCTACCCTCAACTGTCACTAAAGTGTACGACGACACTTAAACTGGGTTGCACCATCTTACTTTAACTATAAAAACGTTAAAAATCTGTCAAACTCCATGCAAAAAACATCGGTTATCGTTATAGTTACGGTTAAAATTAGGTGGTGCAACTCCCCCTAAGTGAGAGAGCGTAAGCTTCCAGTGATCCATTTTTGGTACTAAGGTAGGAAGGACTTTGTCCTTTTAGAGTGATCCATTTTAGTCTCTTTTTACCAACTAAGGTAGGAAGGACACGTTCTGACTAGTAATTACATAGCAAACAACACGGATTTGGACTCAATGTGTACCCTCAACGGTCACTCAAGTACGGTGGCACTAAGCGTAGCCGGCGCAAGTAAAACGCTAAACTATACACACTGTCCTGTTGCGACCGGTCGTCGGCTCAGCTGGCCAAACGGTCGTTGGCTTGTAGCTTCACTACATAGGTCGCTAACTAAATAGGTCTTATGTAATCGCCGAAATACTTGAAATTTATGAGTTTATAACTTCAACTGAAATAGGGTTTGGAGGATTTAAGGTTCTGTGCTCTAGTTGTTCTAGGATTTTATGATTTAGTAACTACAAAATTTATTTATTAGGATAATAAAAAAAAGTTATCAATAATGTCATGATGACAATACATGATCCGATTCTTAAGATCTTTATGTAGTTAATTATCATCATCATCAGCAGCCTATAGCAGTTCACTACTGGACTGTCTTTGACTTGTCGAAGTTGTATTCAGCTTCTTCTAGCAACTTGTAACAGCATGTATCGCTAGGATCTGTATTAGGTATATGTGTTTGTATGAACTCATAACATATCTCTAACATGTTATAAATGACATGTTATATCAAATTGACGTGACATGTTACGACACAGATATGCCATTTTGATTTTTCGATCGCGGCTAATATTATTGAATGTACGAGTATTAGCATTTTACAGCCTCATTTGTTTTTGGCGGTAAATTATCTTATTTAATTCAATCCGTTAATAATATTCTCTACCATAAAAAATTCTAGCGTTGTAGGAGCTTCCAATATTAAAATATATTAAGATGTAAAATGTAGACCCATCTATTTTAACTCTATTTGTCTATACTAGACACCAGTTGCTTCTTCCACCCGGGCGAATACGGAACGCCGCGGAGGTTTTAGTGGGTACACCCTGTCCTTTTCAGGACGGAGCAGCGCCCTTTTAAAGGCGTCGGGAGTTTCACACACCACCTTGTCACCCGGCAGTGGTGACGGTGCGCAAAGCATTTCCACTGCGTCAAAGGATGATGCTCATTGTTATAACACACAAAGTAAAACGATTACAAATCCAGATATTTTCTCATTGCACGTAGTTCACTACAAAACCATCTTCTGCATCGCTAATTGCACAACAATGGAACAAAAATCCTAAATTAACTCGCAACTCTACATTACGACACGATTCTTGTAGAATCGATTAATTAATCATTCCGAATTATGATAAATCGGATAGAGAAGTAACTGGGACGGATTCTGTAATGAAAAAGTTACACAAGGCGATCGCAATCTTCAATTTTAGACAATGGGAAAATCGTGATCTAAAACGTATTGAAGAAGGCAAAGCCGCACTTCCTAAGTAGATTTAATTTGCACCTGCGGGTGATAGAGACGCGGAAACGGATAAGAAATAATAACAAGGGAGCTTATCTGAGATTAACTCGTTATTAAATAATAAATATAACTACTATAACTAGTTTATGTTTGCGGCTTCACCTGTCGATTTATGTTGGACACGGATTATGTTCACAAAAATGGCCTCAATTTTGTATATAAATACATGATTTGTATGGAGTTCCACTGCATGCTACATCAACACATATCAGCACAAGCTATTGATGCGACATAACGATACACGATACGACTTATGCAAATGGTAGGCCAAGACGTTACCTTTGTCGCGTAAATGCTTTGAAGTCGTTATAGAGCGGAAGTTTGATTGCAAGAATATATATGTATTTAGTAGATAGAGATTAAAGATCCAAACGACTGATAACATGCAATAAATAGTGGTGGAAAGTAACTAATGTCACTGGAGACCGTTTGTGGGAAGCCTAGACTAGAAAAAATTGTGGAGATAATATTTATTTATTAAATAACAATCTTAGCTCTAACATCACAGGTTACCCCAATGCGATAGAATAGATTAATTAGTACATATTTAACAATTAAAATTGCCGCTATAGCTATAACATAAAATAAATAATGTAACCTATTAAATATGGCTATTAAGTGGACCGCTGAAGGGAAAACGATCTTAATTAAACGATTACTGAAGCATTAAGTTGTAATTAAACTTCATAGTTGAAAGTCCTAAACTACCACAAGTTCAAAATATTTATTATAAATACTGTGAGAAAACATGAACCATTTAAGAGCTTTTGACGAGCAACAAAGCTTGAAATTAAAAGCTTTTATGTAAAAGCTTTTGTCTTGAAAGACTTAGCCTTCTTTAGGCACTTACAAAGAAATGTACTTTATGAAGTTGAAAATGTTCTATTTATTTTCATAGGAACAATAATTATATGAAAAGATGTTAAGGCTTTGTTGTATTTAATAGAGAAACATAATTAACGTGGTGCACAGTCCTTCAAAATTAATAATACAAAGTCAAATTAATCTTGAATTATGTTCATACCAGTATAAGGTTCATTTTACATCACCATAACAAAGCAAGGGCTGAGGCGGAAGCGCACATTCTAAATTATGCTCCATCTGCATATGCTTAAGGTTAATTTTCGTGCATTGTTCTGCCCCTATGGCACGACAGGTGCAGTTGACCTGCTGTTTTTGCTGGTGCCATCGGTCTGGGGTTCAAGTGTTGGTTCGAAGCTATCTACGTTAGAATCAACTGTATGATTCATAAATATTCTGAGCTTTATAATATTGAAATGTACGTACACTATAATGAGTACTGAAACAATTGAATAAATGTAGTATTATGCACTCAATTTTAATAAAATTTTAAAGCAGATTAACTTAATTTTCCAGATTCAGTCAGTACAGTACCTAATATCTAGTACCTAACTAGAAGCTAGCTTGAATACCGATTATAAGTGTCTAACTAGACCCATTGTTCTTCGTACTATCCGTTTTAAATCTGAGCCCATACAATCAGAGAAGGAAGTAACGAAATTAATAACAATAGACACAAAAGCGGTTGACCTTGCATAGAAAGAGCGGAGATACGATTGACTTGTCAATTTGACCTGTCATTGTCAGTCAACTACGTCCATTGTTCAGAGGTCTGCAGACCCACTTTGACAGTCTTAAGCAATAAATTTAAATTCTGATAAATTTCGTTGTGGGTCCAATGATAGTTTAGCTTTCCCTCGGGATAAACTTGACCTTCACTGCTTGGGTTTTTATTGGCGGTCAAGCTGTAGATCCTGGCTATACAGGAGTTGCAGCGGTAGGAACGAGAGGTGGGAACAGTCATCAGAAATAGTAGGAAGGTGTTCAGACCCAGATAAGATGGAGGTCTGTAAGCTAAGGGGTTTGAAATTGAATGAGTCATCGTGAGTGTTGCATCGGCCCATATTTTCTCTATTGGCTTTTACAATAATTTTGCAAGATCATTGCGGTCATCAATATCTGTAATAACTGTTGTAAGTGCCGCTCTTCTTCGGTTAATGTATTGAATTTATAAGTGAGAGCTTTTGGGTCTTAGTAAATTATAGTTCATTCTTGTTCTATCACGTATTATAATTTATTAACATTTATTGTACTAAGTATATATGGTAACTTATCTAATAAAATTGATACTTTTATCACGTGCAAGATCGGTTTACCTTTAAGCTTTTATAATCCTTTTCACCGCAGCAAGTAAAGCATAAAATCACTTAACAGACACTATGTGTAGCGAATAGGTATCGCTTGCGAAAACCGGTTCTGTTTTATAGAGCTTTTACATAAACCAGAATCGGCGACATAAACGAAAATTGTGTCTTTTGCGTTTATTTATTGGAAAACGACATACCACGCTGTCAAGTCACCCATGGCTTGACTTATAAGGAAAATCAACTCGATAACTTGTGGAATTTCACTTAAGAATTATGTAAAATCCAGCATTATGGAGTAAGTTGATTTGCAAACACGAGAAGTAATCAAAAAGTTAGTACAGCTTTGAAGAAATCAACCTAAGTAAGAAACTAGTCTATAATTAGATACAGAATAGAGCAAGGACAGACATACCGGATCGTCAGCGGTGCACAATGAACCACTTGATGAAATAACCGTTACGGACACAATACACGAGTCATCGGCATCGCAAGATACACGAGCTTTCGACTTTCGCCCATTCACACGACACAAGTATTAAGACATTAAAATTATATCGAACCTCAAACCGCAAAAAAACTGAATCGAACTCCGGCGAGGAATCTGAGAGGACGCGAGCGTGTTAATAACAACAAAAACTTTGTCACAACCGAACTAATTGGGCGCGTTCAGAATTGGAATGTATTTTGAATTTGACGGATCAAGACATTCACCTCTTGCCGGAGCGGCGCGCGCACTGGCCGCGGCGCGCTGCGCAGAACCCGTTTCGTAGAAAAAAATGCCTCTTCCCGCGTCCAACGCCGACGTGCCGACCCTTTGCATATTTCCCTGGTCGCTATTTATCATTGCACCGGCATTATCCACGGGGAATGGCACGGAAATTTCTTGTAGCTTCTCGGGGACTAGTTGGGTGTCGTTAAGTTGATTGTCCGCTCTCGCGACATCGGCCTTCGAAGCGGCCATGTTAGCATTAGTCAGGGCTTGGCGCGAAACGTCCACCTTGCCTCGGTCTGGCCCGTTTAGAACTTGCGCCACTGGATTTCTAGGCATCACGATTGGTATTCGACCGTAGACTGGTCTGGTGCTGCTGTATTTTTGAGTGCTATCTATCACTCGAGGCTCAGGAACTGGTTGGTTGCTAGCATTGGTATTATTGGCAAAAGCATTCACCTTTAAAATTTCATTCGCTTGTTGCAGTAGTCTTCTTTGTATATTCTCTATTTCTCCTTTAGAAGCTCGAGAGTTTTCTGACAACTCTGCTATTAACTGATTGACACTGAAATCCGCCATTTTATTTTCTGCTTGGTTATTCTGTGACGTCGAAGCAAGTTGCGGTAGCGTCGTCTCTATCAGCGCCGAATTCCTATTGGAATTTTTCTCCTCCAGTTTCTTGGGAGCCTTGACCTTCATCTCGGGGGGAGGAGTGACAACTATTGTTGGTAGGTTTCCTTCGGCGTTGGCTGATTCTTTTCCTTTCCCTCGTTTAATCTTTCTCACAGTCCTGCTGGCCATTACATTATTACGGGCCACTTAATGATGATTGCCTTTGGTTTAACTACTTTTTTCACACATTCTATTTCAGCGTTTAACTCGATCTTGTTCGCAGTAAATTTTTTAATCAGATCTGCGACCTTAAACATGTTATTCATTAAATAACAAACTTGAGGAGCGTCTGTTTTATTGAGGCTCTTAACTTGGGCATTTTTGAGTAAACGTGTGTAATTTAAATTTATGTTAAATCGGGTAAGTTCTTGGAAGTTTGCAGAAACTGTTTTGCGTAGGGTGCGCATAAAGTTTGCCAAATACAGCAGTAATGACTGGTCTGTATTATGTTTCAGTGACAACAATGAAGCTGACACACTTTCCCCGTGTCTGATATTTCATAAGCCTTTGTTATAGTTTATTTGGTGCATAGATTTGTTCTCACAAGTGTTTGTATGTTTTGTGTCATACACATGTTACATCATGTGCCGTTATTCAATTGGTTCTGTAGTATTTTGATGTATTGCGTACATGATACACTATCATAGTTATTTGGATCTAGTTAATTCTAATATTCAGTTAGAAAAACTTAACTGCCGGATAAAATTGATTTACATCAGCAATGAGATAACATAAATGTACACCGCGAAGTGTAAAAAGTACGTAAGTCTATAATTCTGTACTTAAGCTCTCATTTACATATAAGTATGCTTAACAGCGAATATATAATCGTGTTAAATGACAGACTGCTTGACACGCTCTACATTTACATATGCTTGTATCTCTGACTTTGTAGTATAATTTATATTCAATCTGCCTTTGAAATATGAACCACATTTAAATCGTGGTAGAGTTAATATTCAAATGAAGCTGCGTTTATTATTTAAGATTAACATAAACGGTGAAAATGTTGTAGCAGTTTTGTAACAATAAAAAATCATGGCTGTTTTTGTGCTATTATTATAAGTGGATGTACTTACATGATAGCAATTAGATATGACATTTACTTTACACATAATCTTTTACGTGTTATTATAGAAATTCCTACAGTTACCTAAATGTCTAGTTATGCACTTTCATTTGTTAGGTAATTCAAAGCGGCTCGATTAGAATTAAAGCAGAGCTCTGATGATTGGTTTAATTTAACTATTTAGATCAGCGAGGCTTAGTTCGATTTATTAGATTATTATCTCCTTTATTAATTCATTGATAATAAGCCTCAAGATTACGTATTTTGAGTCGAGTAGGATCTATAATGCGAAAAATTGCTGTCTAGCCACTGGAAATTGATTATGATGAACTAATTAGTTTAAGATGAAATGGTGCTAACTTTGGTTGTAAGATACACTTTTTTTAAGATGTCGCCCGAAGACCCCTACTAGTACGAGTACAAGATTTTTTGTAGTATTTTAGGCAAGTTTTGTAACTAATAAAATCAATTAATATTGCCATTAAATTGATGATCTTTGTCTAGCTAGAGTGTAGTCCAATCTCTATTGAGTCGATTATTAACTTTATCTCTATTCTCTATATTCAAGTTTTTCAAATACTGCCAGTTTCTATTGGCTAAAACTAGTCCTGCAAAAGTGCAGAGGTCTAAAAGTTCACTCCCCTCCCCGCGCCGTCTGCCCATGCGCGGGCGCGTGTCGTAACGGTGACGTCACGCGCCTTATTCGGCGGTCGTTAGCGAGCGCCTACTAGGGCGGATTTAAAGCGCTTTTGCACAGGTGACTCTTATCACCTTTTCTTGAATCGCAATTATTTTAATTTTTATGACCAGTATATTGAGGTATTTCTAAGCGGACAGATTTATTTCTTTATTTGTTTGCTTGTCACAGATGTGATTTTTATTTACTACTACACACGTGACGCGCTAACATGACATGACACATTTTAAAAACGACAAGTTTCCTCAGTTTCTTTACTGTTACGTCCTCATTATATTGTCTTTAATTGTTTCACATTTTAAATATGTATAAAAATTCCTTATATGGGAAATCGTTTCAGAATTCATACTTAAATTGTATTTCCATCGTAAAGGTAACGTGGATATAGATTTAGTGGCAATCCGCCGTGTCCACAATAACCGCTATTTATTGCCCTATTAAGCTACTATGTGAGTTATTAGTGTTAGTAGAGCTTTATAAGGCTCCGGTCACATTTATACGCAGCCTTAATATTTTATTTATTAGGTGAGCTTTTGTCGTTATTGCAGCCAGGTACTTTAATGTTCGGTTTTTAAAATACTTTAAATTGTGAGCTTTTTGTAAGCTTGATTAAGGAGCTTTTCGTTGTTGTGATACTATGTATGTTATACATAAGATAGCATGTGATGAGCGATGGCTGATTAACTTTGTTTATTAATTATTATGTATTTGCTAGCTTTTGTCCGTGGCTTTACTCATTGAATTTTGGCTTTTTTATCGCGCTCCCCTTTCAAAAACCGGGATAAAAACTATTTTAATGTTTTTCCCTGGATGTGAAACTATACCAAAAATTGGTGCTAATGCTAAGATTCAAGCAAGAAAATGTAGCTTTCAGATACAGACAGAGTTACTTTCGCATTTTTAATATTAGTATGGAAGTACGGATCTACCAAAGCTTTGGAATACAATTTGCATTGCCCATGTATGAGAGCATCGTTCCATTCGGTCGCGCCTTTATAGTCCATGAATTTGTTAGTGCCACTGTTTCCAATTTACGTGTAGGTCTTGAATTTATAAGTGAATTTATTGGCGTTCTGAGTAAACTACTGAGCCACATTGTTTCTTTGTACTTCGCTTATGGATTTCTGTAGCAAATTTTGAAATAGGCTCTAAGATTTAGGTAACTAGAAAGTTTTTAGTCCTACAATGGCAGGAAGTTAACCTCAAAAATTGTTTTAATTAGAATGAGTGAGTAGTCATGGAATGTCTCCAAAAGGAGAAAAATTATAAAACGTGATAAATTATAAAACGAAAATTCGATCAACAGACTCTATCAGGAACCTACATACTAAAACTATTTAATGCTGTCTGTTTATGGGAAAACTTAAGAACACTAAGAATCACCTGTTAATCAAGCCGTGCCTATTTGTCTCTATATCTACGAATACTAATGTGCGGACTACTGATATACTTCAGCTGTAACAAACCGTTAGCTAACACCTCTAGTGCCAATGGCATTGTTTAATTGTCTAATTAAAGCGTAACCCATTGTCGGTAGCCGCCGGGGTGTGGTTCCTGTCATCTTAGAACTTAGAGCCAAAGCACACGATGCGTTGCGGCGCCGGTGCGACGCCGGAGCGTTGTCGCTGCTTCGTCTTAGGCTGGTTTTAGAGTCGCGCTGATCGCACGCTGATCGTCGGCGCTGACAGATCAATATGTATGTAATTAAAGGGAACGTTCCTGAGTGACGCTGATTGCTCGGCGCCGACGCATACAATTCGGCTGTCAGCGCTGACGGTCAGCGTGCGTCAGCGTGACTCTAAAACCAGCCTTATGCTTCAACCACACCAACGCCATCATTGGCCAATGATAGGTCACGCGATCCATGAGAGTCCGCGCGACCTGTCATTGGCCTATTAACGCGCCGGCGATAGCGGTGGTGATGGCGACGGATGGTGGTTGAAGCTTTACATAGAAAAATCTGTGGCGGGCACAAGAGCGGTGCGGCGCCGTATCGCGCGGTACGGCGAAATCATTGCGGCGCGACGCCTCAACGCATCGTGTGTTGTGGCTCTTAGAACTTAGGGCGTTGACTTGCTGCAACTGTTTTTGCAAAAATATTATAACATACTAACACGTTATTACAGCATGTTTGTTTACAGAATTCTGTAAGGAAATATGTTATAACGTAACGTAACACCCTCTGTAATAAGACTATATAATACTCGTATCATGGGGCGTGTCTATTTTCTACCCAATACACGTATGTTTTGGTCGCGAATTGTGAACTATTACCTATGTGTTATTTGGAAACGGTTTTCCCCAAAGGTCCATAACAATTTTTCTTCTTTTCCTCATCGAGTCCATGATAAAATATACAGGGTAACAGGGAAACTCGACCTATTCCTTGAAAGGGGCTATACTAGAGTTCATTAATAACAAATAATTATATATCCCACACCAATTTTGTATCCTATTGTGAAGCAAACCAGTCAAGGCTTCAGTACTAAAAAAAAATTAAAATGACGAAAGATTCATGATTCCTAATAAAACGACGATTGCTTGATTAGTGTGTTTTGTCTAATTTCATTTATGACATCGTAAAAACAATGGATCAAGCCATATCGGGTTTACAGTTATGAGTCATCGGAGTTTTCGAAAGGCTCTATCCACCTCTGCGTCGACTGTCATATAAATCACCTGTGCCTCTACCATGAGTTGCCATCGAAAACTTGTATTCGTATACTACAGTCGATAGAGTTTAAACGTGGATCGATGAAGTTTGCATTAAAATCATACCATGAGTTCAATTACCGTATACTTTACTCGCCAGCGATAATTCGATGGTTTTGTGATGTCATGTTGGTGAACATGTTAACGTATCCAACTTCACACTCTATGAATGGATGAATGAAAGAACGAATGCCGCTCCTTTCTAACTATATAGAAAAGATAGAGTAGGAAATAACAAAAATGTCAAAAATAACACTGCAAAATTTAAGTGTCCTAGAACAGTGCTTAAAGCTGAATTAACATGATGATTTTAAATTTGTATTGTTTATTTCTTGTCATTGCGACTTTGACGCAGCTGTTGTCATGACAACAGATAACAAAACATGTTTTGTTGAAGGATTATTGATGAATAATTTTCCACAAAAAATTGGATTTTAACCACGATAGGAAAATGAGAACCTGCGCCTATCCGTTTAAACCGATTGTAGAATTTATGGAAAGGTAAGTTAAGTAAAAATAAACATACTATGTAGTGGAGGAATTTCGAAATTAAACGAATAATTTTGAGCTGGTTTTTTTGGAGAAATACAACCTTTCCAGCATAACTTCCACGTGCCTAGCTAAAATTCAGTAATATGAGTGCTAGATTTATATTTTCTAGATACAATAAAGTTGTTTTTCTATAGATATGGCGATCTGAGTATGCCCACTGAAGGGCCCCAAGAAAGAGCCAACAATAGTCAACGGTGGGTGGAACTAACGGACACGCGAACGTGAAATGCTGATGCCACCGGCGACACGAAAACTACTGAGAAATTGAGAAAAGTGTGTATAAATACCTACTACTTTATTCATTTTGATTGCTTTTATCTTATTTCGTCATTATTATTTGTAATGTTTATTTGTTAAGGTGTGGAGTGACTTTAAACAGCAAGAAGAAGGCAACTCGCATACACAGAGCTGCCAAGGGAACACTGGACTGGTGGCGGTCCAGGTTCTTCCCTGAAGCCAAAGGATTTAGAGCAGAGTGCTTGTAAATAACTACTTGTAAATTAAATCCATAATAAAGACCTAGGGTAACTGGATGGATATACCTACCTTATTATTGTAAAACTTAAGATATTATAATTAATTAAATACATTATATTGTTTTAATCTTTCATGGTCACTAAACATACATGGTAGCAATCTCGTCAGTAATAATAATTAAGTAAATACATATCTTACTAATATCCTACTTAATATTAAAAATGCGAAAGTTTGGATGTCATTATGTCCAGATGTTTGTTACTCTTTCACGCAAAAAGTACTGAACGGATTTTGATGAAACTTTACAGTATTATTGTTTATAATCCAGATTAACATATAGGCTATAATTATGACGATCTGTGACAAACTAAATTTCACGCGGACGAAGCCGCGGGCAAAAGCTAGTTGAAAATAAAATGATAAATTTTTATTGACTATTTATTTCACAAAACCTAATACATAATACACAGACTGATTAAAAACAAAAGTAAATTTCAACTTATGAAAATATCAAATTCTATCATGATCTCTTAAGGCTGCGTTTCCACCAGAGACCTCGCCTCGGTCAGCACATCTCTGGTAGACAAGGCTCAGGCAGTACAACACTAATGAGCATTTTCAAATCTCTGCTACACATCCTTGTACGATAAATTTTCCTCGCACAGCTTTGGTGGAAACCCGCACACATTTTCACAGCACAGCTAGACATCTTCGCACGACACAATTCCCTCGCATATCTCTGGGAAACGCTGCATCCTCTCCCTCCCCCAAGAATCTCCACAATGTGCCCGCATCCAGGTTCTTCCCGCAACCTTCACCAGATCGTCGGTTCACCTAGTGGGAGGTCTGCCCACATGCTGATAACATGTCCAATCGTAATAAACTTCTTTCCGACATAATTTAATAAAGAAAACTCCTAAAATGACCTAAAACCACAATTTTATTTTGCGTTTCACACGTCAATAAGCCAGTGAGTTACGTTACTGTGACAGCTAAGGTATTTTTCGATGACATCTTTGAAAATTGCAACTCATGGTAAGTTATTTGTATGAAACTTAATAAAAACTTTAGTCGCTATCGTATTCAATTAGATAGGTTTTTTACCTAACGATTTGAGATGAACTCATGGTAGTGTTTTTAGTTTTGCTGTGGTTCAGCTACTAACCGCTAGAGGCGCTGTACAATTTGCCATACATTTTTTTACGCCCTCGATAGCGAGATGCTCGGTAGGTAAACTCATGGTAGAGGCACTGACACCGGCGAGGTATCAATGATTTAATTCTATTATTGGAAGGAGAACTGGGTAGAGATATGTTTCGAGTTTTTTGTACGGCAATATTTCAATTGAATATGTTGTCATGTTGCTTCTTTTCACTCTTAAGTTGTCTTTAGCGGCTTATTTTGAAATCTTCTAGAAATCTATCGGATTAATTGTTCTAAATCTTATCCTAGATTCCAGAACAACCCTGATCTTTATTAGCCATAATGCCTCTGACATTGACTGCTTAATAAATATTATTATATTACACTTAGATACTTATTGGTCAGCGCTTTAGGCTATAGGGCAAGTGTAATTTCGAGTCTTGTTTTTGTACCTTGATGGACGAAATTAACAACAACGTGTGATATGCACTAGTGTAGCTACAAATTACAAATACATACAAGTACATTATGCACTTACGCAATAAAAAAGCTCACGAAATTTACAGCAGTTTTGCAATAAGTCGCTATTGTTCATTTGCGTTTTTTACCGACTGCACGAAAGAGTATGCAACATGAAAACTAATTCATATGCCTGTAATCACTAAAAATGTTAATAATATAGTGCTGTTTATGTTATTACATTGTTTGAAGAAGTTATTAATAGTTAATCCTGATGTAATTAATAGTGCAGAACGAATTGAAAATAATTATACGGTTTGCTAATTGGTTTCGTTTCAATTCTTTCTAGATTTTGAAGTTAGTGAGGTTTGATGTAATAGTTTTAACGGAAAAATGTAGGTCATGTCTTGATTTCAATCCGGGAGTTGTTTCGTAAATTCATTTGTTTATACCTAGATTTCAAGTTTCAAAGTATTTTTCGAATTTGAACCAAACATTTCACATTACTTTAGATAAAAACGCATTTTTTTCATAAAACTACCCGCAAGTAGGCAAAAGTAAGGTTCAACACACTACGCAAAACAGTTATACGATTACAAACAAATAGAAAATTAAGGCCTCCTAAAACAAACAGTCCCAAGTTTGTTTCGTCATCCAATATGACATGCGATATTTCGTAAACACGCGGTTTCATTTGTAAAGAAAACATAAAAAAAAAACGATTTACAGTTAAAACTTTTAAAATTCTAATAATTCCTTAAATTACGATACCGAATACACAAAAAACAAATGACATTAGTTTTTTTTTAAACTTCACTCACAACACTTTTGACACTCATTCTTTTTTTTCAGTTCAAATTTAAATTTTCGACCAATGAGGTCTTCACTCCCGATCCGTTCGATATTCAAACTATTCTTTCACCGGTAGAGCACATGGATCAACCGCACAAATTACACTGAACGCGCTGCGCGGGCGCTTGGGCCACCGAGATTCGCTTTCGTAGCCTCAAGTGACGTAGAGATGGGAAAAAACAGACGCGGCCTTCTGTATGTTTGTATGGCTATTGTCTGGACGCGAAATTGTGACCAATAGACTCATCGTCGTCCTCGTACTTATTTCGACAATAACTTAGTTTTTTAGATGCTAAAAAGATTGTAGCCAGTGTAGTGACTTGTGCAAAGACAATTAGAGGAATCTAAGGGATAGCTTACGTAAGCTATTAAATATTAAATGAACTTAAATATAAGTTAGAATAAAGTTACTAACTATACCTACTTGAGTACCAAATTGTATTCAAATTCAGATGTTTGGGGTATTGAATAACAAAAATCTGTATTTACAGTAGCATCATCATTGTACTTATTATATTTTTATTGCTAAAAACGAAAGCTGTTATGAAAGGAGTTCGTTACGTTCAAATGGTAAAAAGTGTTTTGATGATTATGTTAATGATATGTTTTTAAATGAAAATAACTTTAATGAGATTACAGGTTTGTATTAAAATAAGTGAAGTCTTTTTAAAGCGGCATATTGTTGCCAAAATAAATGAAATCAAGATAGTGACAAGGATCTTGTAAATCTGGACACTAAAACTTTATAACTGTATAATAATGACTTTTATTTGCAGACTTTCTTCAGATTTAAGCTGAGCTCTTTTTTATTCACTTTCGTTGTTATGTCTTATCTCTGACCGGTTTGTTTAAGCTCCATCTTATGATAAACGCTGTTGCACTTTGAGAATATTGTAAGATTTTATTTTCTTGTTGATTTTACGGACGGCACGGCATTTATGGAGGAAAGTCTACTTGAGTATGTATGTACGTATGTAGAGATGATACTTTTTCTTTCAATGCCCTCAATCTCTATTTACGTGCGCCAAATGCTTTATTCAGTTTGGATTCATCATCAACAAGTCCTTTAGCCCCCACTGCTCCTCCAGTTTCGGCCACCAAGTCTGTTCCCAAATAAATGCATTTTTAAAGTGGTTGTCCCTATCGTCATGAGGTCCTTTAAAGCCTCTTCCTTTCCCCAGAGAAAAAAATGTAGGATTTGGCTTACATTACATAGTGTTTCCCCAAAACCATTTATCATTCTTACATACTTATTAATTTATGTCCTGAAGCAGTGGTAGGGTCCAGTATTACACTGGGAAGTGAAAAAGCGCTACTTAAAATACCATTTGCAGAAAATAAACTATTTTACTAAATTTTTTTACTACTGTCTGCCATGTCTATCGCATCGCATACCCTAGTCCGGTACAGCACGCGTCACACGTGGATGCGCGAGATAATGCGTCGGGCTCCGCCGCGCAGCGCGGAAACGTTGAACTGCCGCACTATGGACTGACGACCGTCTTGCGAGGCCTAACTGAAGCGTGAAGGGACGAGCGATACTTACTTACCCCCTGTTTCTGAATTGAGAATAAAAAAAACTAATAAAACTCATTTAGGCCCGATTCGGTCAAACTTTTACCCGAGAATAATTCATGGTCTAACTGGCACATTGACAGTTTTAGCAATAGTCCAGTCAATAAAGCATTATAGATGGAAAACTGTAGAACACAATTTCTGACTTCAGGACTTTATTTAGACTAGTTAGGAGGTGAACATAGCAAAAGTCCCCGCCCTTAGCCCTTGAGCCGGCGGGGAGAGGGGGGTTTAAAGGTGCCACTTTTCGGTTTTTTGCTTAATCCTCGGAAACTATGCGACCTAGTGACATGACTACTTTGAACCAAAAAAAGCATATTCAATTTGCTACAGGTGAGATCCAGGTCGGAGAAGCTACGAGGTGCCGCCGCCGCGGCTAGCGCCGCCGCCGCAGGGAGAATTACGTCGCCGCCGGTTCATGGAGGAAGTACTCCGACGGAAACCACGGATACTTCATCAACGCTGACCCCGTATCCCGCCGGGGGCGCGTCCTCACCGCGCATCGCCAGGGACCACGCCGCGCCGGCTGTTAGCACCCGGGTTATGGGAGAGCCCGGCGTGCATTTGGGAAGAGGGGAACCAGCACCGCGCTCCTACACAGAGGAGATAACCGCCGACGTCACGAAGCCACACGAAGCACTAAGGGCCCGTATCGCGGAAGCAGAGAAGAGACGTGCAGCCGCCGCCGCCTCCACGCCCACCGCGGCCAATGTTGCCGCCGCCTCCGCCGCCGCCGCGACTCCCGCGACTACGGTGACCACCGTGCCGACTGTTGAAGGACAGTACGCGCCACCCACGCCGCAAGTGCATGAACAAACGCCGCGACTGTCACGAGTGAATCAAGACACGCGCTCCGTCCGCTCGTCAAGAGTGTAATGTAGGTAGGTTACTAACAATTAATATTTAAGTAAATAGGCACATTAATTTATTAATTTATTTAAGTAAATGGGTAACACTGCTCGACAGGTGAAAGCCCTGCTGTTTTACTTATGGGAAGAAGGCTGCGCACTCATTTGGACTTATTAAAACCAGACATAGAAAACAAAGTCACAAAAAGTCAACAAGTGCAGGTAAATTCATCAGGGGGGGCGAATAGGAATTTGCAAGTAGGGGAGGATGTTTGGTATCGTCAGTATTTGAAGGGAGAAAAATGGCAACCGGGAAGAATTCGCAGCTCATTAGGTAGTACTGATTATACAATAACAGATAATAACGGTAACGACATTCACCGACATATCGACCAATTAAGACGTAGGTCTAGAAAATCCTTAGCGTTCCCGATTGAAAATAAAACAGAGAGCTCAGATGCTAATACAACAATAAGTTCCCCAACAAAATCAAACACTCAGTCGAAGCAGTCTGTGGAATCGAACATATCGCCCGCGCCCACTCAGCCAGAGTCGCCGGCGCTAGCGCGCAGCGTGGAAGAAGGGGAGGCAGGGGCAAAGTCGGGGGACGACGACTGCTTTGCTACTCCGGAAAAAGTGTTCGATTCACCTAATGTACAGCCAGTAGTCCCCGCTGAACCGCCCCAGTTACGCCCGATAAGGAAGTGTAGGTTAGATAAGGTGCCTAGATATAAGTTTTAGATTTAGAATTTAGTATTAAGGATTAATTAGAATATAGTTAAGTAAATGTATTAATTAAGTGTGGAGGAGTGTAATGTAGGTAGGTTACTAACAATTAATATTTAAGTAAATAGGGTAGATTAACATAGTCTGTACATAGGGCCAACCAGTCTGGAATAAATCGTCATTAGAGTAACACGCGTCTCATTTCTTCGGCTCCCTATTCCCGGATACCAGGCTATTACCCTTCCCACCATCCGTACTCGCATACATTACAAAGAAGGGCAGAAATAGAGGCCAAATTAAGAGTGGCCCGCCAGGAACTGGAAGTTGCCAAAGCGGAATTGGAGTTGGCCCAATTGGATTCCGACATGGAAGAGGATCCAGAAGAAGTGCAGTACAGGCAAATGCAGGTCGAAAATTGGTTGGACCACTCGAACACCATCGCCGAGAGGGTCCCGCCGGAACTACAACCAATACCGCCGCCGCCGCCCGCCGCGCCGCTGCCGCTGCCGCCACAAGTCCTACCGCTGCCGCCGCCACCGCCGCCGCAAGTGTTGCCGCCTNAAATGGATCGAAGTGTTCCAAGTTCCCAGCACTTCAGCTAGTTCCACAATAGATAGGTTAGGTGAACTATGGGCTAGGTGGGGAATTCCTAAACAGGTAGTGAGTGATAACGGGCCGCCCTTCACGAGTAGAGAGTTTGAGTGTTTTCTCAATAATGATGGAATTGATCACATTTTTACCGCTCCCTATCACCCAGCGTCGAACGGTGCCGCGGAGAATGCGGTAAAAACATTAAAAAGTGTGATCAAGAAATCAATTGTTGAAAAATCTGATGTTTTAAAATCATTAAATAAATTTTTGCTTTACTATCGTAATACAGAACACTGCTCGACAGGTGAAAGCCCTGCTGTTTTACTTATGGGAAGAAGGCTGCGCACTCATTTGGACTTATTAAAACCAGACATAGAAAACAAAGTCACAAAAAGTCAACAATTGCAGGTAAATTCATCAGGGGGGGCGAATAGGAATTTGCAAGTAGGGGAGGATGTTTGGTATCGTCAGTATTTGAAGGGAGAAAAATGGCAACCGGGAAGAATTCGCAGCTCATTAGGTAGTACTGATTATACAATAACAGATAATAACGGTAACGACATTCACCGACATATCGACCAATTAAGACGTAGGTCTAGAAAATCTTTAGCGTTCCCGATTGAAAATAAAACAGAGAGCTCAGATGCTAATACAACAATAAGTTCCCCAACAAAATCAAACACTCAGTCGAAGCAGTCTGTGGAATCGAACATAGCGCCCGCGCCCACTCAGCCAGAGTCGCCGGCGCTGGCGCGCAGCGTGGAAGAAGGGGAGGCAGGGGCAAAGTCGGGGGACGACGACTGTTTTGCTACTCCGGAAAAAGTGTTCGATTCACCTAATGTACAGCCAGTAGTCCCCGCTGAACCGCCCCAGTCACGCCCGATAAGGAAGTGTAGGTTAGATAAGGTGCCTAGATATAAGTTTTAGATTTAGAATTTAGTATTAAGGATTAATTAGAATATAGTTAAGTGAATGTATTAATTAAGTGTGGAGGAGTGTAATGTAGGTAGGTTACTAACAATTAATATTTAAGTAAATAGGGTAGATTAACATATTCTGTACATAGGGCCAAGCAGTCTGGAATAAATCGTCATTAGAGTAACACGCGTCTCATTTCTTCGGCTCCCTATTCCCGGATACCAGGCTATTACCCTTCCCACCATCCGTACTCGCATACATTACAAATAGAGAATAGCCTTGAGAGTAGCGTGTGAACTAAAAGATGCAAGATATAGCCTTTGAAACGAGATACATGATCGGGATAGGAAGAAATAAGATTGTGCATATTCTGTGCAACTGGCAATGAATATCCGCAGCGATTTATAGGTTAACGGTATGTGAAACAACCCATAAAGTTATGAGACTCGGCACCAGTCAACCGTTTTATACTTAGGTTTATTGACAGAAACAAAACATTTTGTTTATTTGCTAACGGTAAGTGAACTAGTTAAAGTTTACTTAACTAATAAAAGTTAGAAACCTATCAAAATACATGTGGATTGAAAAGTAGGTATGTAATTCGCGTAGAGACACTGGGATTAGTCCCAGCCACGCTACGAGAATTATTGTCAAAATTAGTAGACAATGGCCCTGTTTTGGAATAGAGATTTTAACTTACTATGAAAAATTCACACAGGTAGAAAATGAGTACGGTACTAAAAATCTCAATTGAGAAACAAGGGGCAGGAAACATGCGTGTTTTCACCGAAAAGTCGAAGTGGCTAACTCAGACAAGCCCAAACTACAAATTGTCACAGTAAAGGTAACAAGGTCCGCACCGAAGGGCGGGCAATTAAGCCCACAATCAGCTGGCCGCCCGAATTCAGCAATTTCGGGGTGTCAGTGTCCTGCATTCGCCAGTTATAAGGCGTCGTGCACACGGCATTGTACTGGACGTTTTTTTAACATTGTACGTAGTCGTTTGTTCTGCAAAAAAACTTACACTTTACTTGTACAATTTATAAGTTTTAACGAATACTCACGGACTTTACAAGCAAATCGAATGAACTTTAATGTTTTCGGTTTGCAGTGGCACATAGATAGCTCTGTCTTCTTCACACACGATAATAATCGTTTCTTGTCGAAAATCACACTCTCTATGATAACTGTGTGAAAGCTGCGGCTAGGTATTCGTTTTTACACGAATAAATTTACATATTGAAATTGATATTATAAATTATCTGTACTGTATAACTTGTTGGCGCGTTGGACTTTCTGCAAGCCTTCAAGCAGATTATAAATAAATAAATAAATAAAAATCTACCGCATGAACACCCGGCTGATTGTTCGTTAAAAAAAAATTAAGTCCAAAAACGTGCAGGGTAATGCCGTGTGAACCCAGCCTAAATTAGCTTTTGCTCGTTTTCGACGCAGAAGCTAAATCACATTAACCTTCTTTTGTTTTATGAACCCCGAAATCATTTGAGCCGCAGACGTATAATTGCAAATCCAATTAAGATGAACCTAAATTGGATTTACGAGCTTACATTTTATGTTCCATTCTTATTATTTTTGCGTAAAAATTAATAAAAAGACATTAAACCCAATTTGTATTCCAAAAGCTTTTTGCGAAATAGAAAATAGACGATCAAATCAAATGTACAAAAGTACTTTACATAATAACCATAGAATATTATCCTCCATGGTGTGAATAGTAGTTATTTTAACAGATATGAAGTTCCATGTATTAAAGTAACCAAAAAGTTCACAATACAACCTTCAAAGACGGTTTGCTAACTTTTTGGCTACTTTAGGTGTCACGAACAAAACTCTATGTTCGTCTTCAAAAGAATTTTAGTCCAACCAATTCACATTATTCAGCCTTATTTCATGGTAAAATTTCAACTTTATCGGTATAGCTAATCCGCTACCTTCGGGCCTTCGGGGAATCTTGCTAAATGGGCCTATTGACGTAATCGCAGATAATCTTCAATCGCAAAAATAGACGCTCTGGCCTTGAGTTAAGAGTCATCAATATCTTGCAGAATTATTCGCCATGAACGAACTTTGCGAAGAAAAAATGCCTTTTCTTACTACAATTTTTAAAGCGTTGTTTTTCTTTCTAATCTACGTAAAAACTTAAGTTTTTTGAGATTCATGTAGGATTTAATAATGAATGAAGGTCACATTGCAATTTTTTTACCCCTTAAAACAGGTACACTTTCGTTGTATTGATGAACATTGAGCACATTAGAGGGTTCCCTTCTTAAGCTAAATAAAATTAAAGGTACCTAATTTGTACTAGAGTTCTCTACTAATAGGCATAGTGAAAACAAAAACTTTTGTTCTAGAAAATATTACTTATCGAGCCATATTGAAAGCAACATGTCCACATACCACAAACATTAACTAAACCCATACCTTGAAAATATCTTCGTAAACGTTTAATCCACCGCGCATACCGTAACCCGTTTCCCGCCGTATTATTTTGCCCAACCATAGACCCAACATAAGGAAAATGACATTGAATCCCTTCAGATGACATGAAGAACAGTCTTACCACACTTCAACTCATACTAAATTCACAAATCACGGCAAAACAAACCTTATATCTTACCCTTAAAGTCTACGCGATTTGTTATAAAGGAAGACACACATTGGTTCGAAGTTCACAAAGCGTTTGCTCAGAACATAACATGTCCTAAATATTCGAAGGGCAGCCTTTGATGTCCGCCGGTGGTCGGAAGATTCCGTTCCGTTCATCTCCGGAAACACTTTCGTAGTGGTCATCTGAACAAACCGAATGGCGGTTATGTATACTAGCTTGGTTTAAGAATTTTCAGAAAGCAACTATAGAGAAAAAAATATTTTGTGGTTTCGATCCTGCAGACTTACAATACTTTTACAGCAAAAATAAATTATTGGCTAAATTCAAATAGGTAAGTATAATACAAATGTTTTAATTAAATTAATGAACTTACAAAACGTACGTGAAATCTGTAAAAATTAAGTAATTATTTCTATTTTGTGTGTATGTTAAAACAATAAGGCTGGGTTGCACCATCTTACTTTAACTTTGACAAACGTCAAAAATCTGTCAAAGTCCATACAAAAATCAAAGGTTATCGTTATAGTTACGGTCAAAGTTAGGTGGTGCAACTCAGCCTAACTTGTTAAAACAACTACTTACCTATCAACTTAAAAAACAACACCCTTTATTTCTTATACAACTTTTTACTTAGTGTGTAAAGCATTATTTTGGCTTGATCCATCAAAACTATTTCTGTCCACAAAGGCTTTACTGATAATCCTTTTCCAACAGTGCAAAAGGTAAAAGCTCCATCGAAAAACTAACGAAAACCGTCAAATATACAAAAACTCGATTTTTCGCGGAAACTGTCCAATCTATGCAGAAATCATTTTGTTTCTTTTTGGTTTTCACGCGCCGGTCGTGTCAGTGAGAAACAAAATTTGGAATTTAAATCACTGTAGAATAACACCCGTATTCACAAACGCAGAAAATCTAAAGCACGGCGTTGAATAGAGCTCTGTGATTGGTTCGTGTGTCACCCTGTGCGACCACGCGCACTGTGAGACCTCATAGTAATGTTTGTAAATGAGCATATGTTGTAACTTTGAAAGTTCAAATTTACAGCGATTGTTCAGAATATTCAGAGAAAAACATTTTATAAATCTACATCCAAAAATATATTTAGTATGATGGGATATATCCGACCAATACCAAGCTCACATCTAAGCGTGGTGGGTTTTAATCAAGTCTAATCAAAATCAAATCAAATAATTGTTTGCAGAACAAACTGTTATAAGCTTAGTTTCAAAATCTGAGCTTAAACTCAAGATAAAAGGTCTTATTTTGAAGTAAGTACCTAATAATTAAAACATTAAAACGTTTACTCTCAGAGTCTATAGAATAGACTAAATACACGATCCTTATTTGGACCCCGCCATTCATCATACGTTTAAAAGACCCTTAGTTTTATTAACCAGGCAAATCCTGAATAGGCAGTTTTGAAAAGGGTAGGGTATGCAAATATAATATTTAGTTCGTACC